ACCACAGATGAAGGCAGCAGGGAGGCAAGGATATGTCCAGTAAAGCATTCATATAGGTAAGTGTTGATCTATCTGAGGAGTCTACTCTCAAGATGTAACTCGTTAAAGCAGCCCGACTTGAGTATCACCGGCCCGTGGCTGATGAAGCTGGAAATGATTTCCTCCAGCTCGTCACAAATGGTCACACTATGTATGGGAATGATTGGCCGTGATCGACCTAATGATGGGACTCTTGATACAGTATTGTATGACATTCTTGTCCATCTGATCATGACCAAAGCCCCTCCCTTTCAGGGTTCTGACCCTCGGACGGGTAAACGTATGTATCATGGTACCGTCATGTAACCCGCAAGCCAATTTTATTCTAAAAGTCGATCATGGGATGATGGGACGGTGGTGATGCGCACAGACAGACCTTTTTTGGGCATCACTAGGGCCAAGAAACCCAAGATATGTAGGCAAACGGGCTCAGGTACCTATAGTACTTCATTGCTTCGTGGAGGAAGGGAGGTTTCGGATGGTTTGGAGACTCGTTCCGTACCTTACCAATCATACTGTTCTGTTTGTGCTGAGGAATTTGCGGTGCCTGAGTCAGGCTGGTACGACCGCATCCGGTACCTACAGATTGAAGGTTGCGAAACTTGAATGGAGGGCACCCCCGTTCCGTCAACTGGATTGGGGGAAGGGGGAATGGGGGGAAAGAGAAATCCATCTCGATGACTGTTCGAGGGGACTGAGAGTGAAGAAGATTCGATAGGCTATCGATAGACGATGGTTCTCGGCCCCACCGGCGGTCATTCCATGGTTCGGATACCGACTACTTTGGAGGTACCAGTACCAAGACTACATACTACTCCGTAGTTAGCAGGTCCTGAGAGCTACCTGTATCAGGATATCGGCTATCCCGGCTAGAAGTTGCCTCCGGAGATAGGAACGAGGGGTTCAGTGGAAAAGAAATTGAGGATATGCCTCTCTATACTATCATACACAGAGTACTCACATACATATGATATCAAATTATGTTTCTGTATAGGTATCTGTACATACAATGTACATGCTCTGTACTCTGTATAAAGTGCAATGTAGTAGTGGTGCATTGCTTGCATGGAGGGGTATTGCTTACACATGAGAATACTGGCAGTAGGCACTGAGTATTACTGCTATACCCTCTTTGTACTAGTTTGTTAGGCTGCTAGTCCGTGGGAATCCGAGTCTCCCTCTCTCTCTCTCTCTCTCCTCTTTACCCGCCAGGTCCTGACCGAGTACTCATTCGGTACATCTAGGAAGGGAGTGACTTCCACGGACACAGTAATCCGCGGGAGACGCAAGTATCAATCAGTCAGAGTCATTATTCATCCAGGACAAAAAGACTGATGAGTAACGTGTGCTTATTCATCCAGGCTCTCGGTGCCAAAGGAAAAAAGTTCCCCTGCCAGCTGCACGTCTGCCCAACGAAGCATCCAATGATCGGTGCTCGTTAATCTCGGGAACAGCCAGAAATCGTCGCCTCGCCTTTTTAGCTTTTCCGCTGACCGCTCGAAGGTACTCATGTCTCTAGTAGCAGCGTTTAGTGACTTTCTGTGGGCGTATAGGCCCTTTGTGTTTAGGGCCGATGGGGAATTCCCTTTGGGAGAGATTTCTATGGAGCAATCGAGAAAGATGAATTAGAATTGAGATTTATGGTTAATATTATTTACCGATTTTATTTTAATTATTCTCTTTTGTTTTGATTTATTTTATTTCCATTTTTTATTTTTATTTTTTTTTATTTCTGATTTTATTTCTTATTTTATTTTTATTTTCGATTTTTTATTGTTTCTATCAGACTATACACTGGTACCTGAGGCACTCTCACGATTTCCCTGAATCATCCCGAAAGATATATGGAGTTCCCCCTCCCTCTTCATCTGGTCTTTCCCTCCTCCAGAATCCAACGGATCTGAGCTTCAAACTCTTTTTTAGCAAAGAGGCTTCTCCTGATCACAAGAGACCTCTTCTTTCCCCTTTACAAGAATCGATCTTCTTCTTTCCTCCCCTCGACTTGACCACTACCACCTTACTTCCTCTTCTACATATTCTTCTTCTCCACTACCGACCTTACTTTCTACTTACTTTCTTCTCTTATTCTTTTTTATAAACTTCTTCATTGTCTATACCTTTTACATCCAATCATCCTGTCTCTCTCCCTCATCTCTACTTGTCCTCATTTCATCATCAATCAATCCAACCACCCAAATAAAAAACCCCGCACGTTTTTTCCGTACAATCAGATTACACACCGCCTCTTGACTACTATCACGGCGCTCGTCTCCAAACAACCTTTTTCATTCTTCATTTTTATCATATACACACATATTCACAGTCATGGCAAGGTATTCTCAACCGTCATTTGACTTCTACCAACAATCACCTTCAAATTTGGATGCAAAGCCTTCATTTCCCGAGGAAGACGAGATGAGTGTATTGGATGATAAGATTCTCGACTCGACGTCCCCCGAACTTTCATCTTCCATTGCCGACCACCGGCGCTCTTCATATGATCATGCACCGGATGCCTTCTCGCATCGTGATTCAGTCTGGTCCGATTTCTCCCAGTCCGTTCACAGCAGCCAATCTCGGCATAACTCCCATGTCGGCCATCATCTTTTCGAGTCCGCTCCGAATGCTTTCATGAGACTGGATGGTGCTCCCCACCCAGCCACCGCGTACGGCCAGCAGGCATCTTGGGCGCTTTCCAAGGAGACTGGCTCATGTACACCCGCCGCCATGTACGACCACCATTTCCCATCGGACCTCGACAACGGTTCGTCGGCGCCGTTTTCGGGGGGTGCTGTTGGTCCGGTGAGCACTATCAACATCCCGTCCATGTCCTACCGCCCGGGGATGGCCTTTGCGCATCCCGGCGCTGTGGCCATGTCCCCGCAGTCCAGTCAAGGATGGATGCCTGCGTCCACCGACATGCCGGATGCTGTTGCTCGCACCACCAAGAGCCCTACTTATCGGAATAGCTCTCCCCTAAGCATCCGACGGGATGGAATTCGGAAGAAGAACGCTCGTTTTGAGATCCCAGCAGAGCGGACGTTAAGCAACATCGACCAGCTAATCGCCCAATCGACCAATGAAGAGGAGATCAAGGAACTGAAGCAACAGAAGCGGTTACTGAGGAACCGTCAAGCTGCGTAAGTAGAACCCTCACTAGCTGTCCAGCTTTATGGTTCACTAACAATTACACTTAGTTTGGATTCGCGCCAGCGGAAGAAGCTGCATACTGAGAAGCTGGAGGAAGAGAAGAAGCAGTTCACCCAGATCATCAGCGACCTCGAGGAGGACTTGCAAAACATGAGGCTACGGGAGGCTGAGCTTATGCGCGAGAAGAACGAATTGTTCGGTGCGCAGCAGGAGCTCTACCACCACCTCAACAATATGGCAATGGAAAAGGAGGAACTGATCCGGGTGCATACCTTGGAGACAGCCGAGCTTCGCAAGAAGAACAACATCCTCAAGGAAACTGTGGAAAAGCTTGAGAGACATGCCAGACCCTCTGCCTCCAATATGGCAACTGACTTCTCTGACTTCGAGAACCTTACCATGGACAACACTTCCTGGGAGGAACTTACCATGGTCAACAGCCTCTCCCTCGAGGCTGATCCAGTTACTAGCGCTCCTGCCAACGAGAGAAGCACAGATAAATCTGCGAACAGCGACTACCCCTTCAGCTGGAACGCTTTCTACATGTGTCTTCTGTTTGGTGCTTTCATCGCCTCTAACGGTACTTCTCTTTCTGCTCGTGCTATTCCGCAGCTGTCGGAGGAGTACCGTGCGGAGTCTGCCAACGTCCTCAAGGCCGTCTTGTCCTCTTCCCCACCAGAACTTGCGCAGCCTTCGAACCAGCCGGCCGTCTCTGCGTCGGCTGGTCCACTGCCGACAACCATCAGTGGGGCGGAGATGGCTCAGATGACTGCAGGCACTGCCCCCTCGTCCAACCTAGATGAGCTCCACAACTCGTTGGCGATGCCTACTAAGGCGCAGGAACAGGAGCAGGTCTTCTCTCTCAACGCTGAGCAGTACAACTCCTTGACTACTTATGATGGCAATGGCGCTGAATACAAGCCGCAACAGGCTTCCCACCTTCAACAAGCGTTGGCTGTGATGCGGGGCAATGTTGCTCAGAAGATGCCCAACAAAGCCACCTCTGATGTCTACTCGAGATCGCTCATGTGGGATCGAGTTCCTGAAAAGGTAATCCAGGACTTCCGACGGATGGTCCAGGAATACGGTGTTTCTCCCGTCAAGGAAGAACAATCCGGCTTCAGTCAGTCCTAAGTAGCATAGCCGACAAGCCTGAAGTCACCGTACACCAACCATCTCCTCACCAAGTCTAGAGAAAGCCACCATGCCTAGCCTTCCTTCCTTCAAAGCAAAACGGCCTCATCGGTTCCCCTGCTTCTTTTCGCCTCTCTCGTCTTCTTTCGTTTGCAAACCAGTTTACTCTAGCGCTTTTTTATTTTTTACGGATATACGACGATTAAACCAGACATTAGCCATATGCATGCATAGACAGCTTACCATTTACTTCGACTGGAAATATTTAACCGACTAGCTCTTCATTGATCTCGTCTCACAATTTAGCGATGTGTTTATATTTTTTTTTTTTCGCGCCCCTTCGGAATTTTCGGCGTATATATGATTTACCGTTTTCTCGGGTTGGGTTTGGGAATGAATCTCACGGAAAGTCAGAAACATATTGCATCTATGTATACTCAAACTTCTTGCGTGTTCTTCTTTCATGATTTTGTTTATGAGTTTCCGGGGAGGCATGATCTTATTTAACGCTGGACGCTGTTTCCAGTCTGAAAACAGCAAAACGGTCCCACAGAACGACCTTTTTGATGAGCATTGCATTGATTATGGTTCAGGAAATATTGTTTTACTCTTGTTATTTTTGCGTTTGGTTGCATTGCGAGTGAGCTGAACTGGGCTAAGGGTGGTTATCTTGTTACGATTATTATTATGATATGACTGATATGTTCTACGATGAAAAATGCCTGCTAATGTTTTATGTTGATGCTGCTTTCTGGACAGTTGGGCCACGACATATATGTGGCCCTTTATACATGCCTTGGTTCTGTCTTTTCATTTCCTTTGTCAAATACTTCTATACAGGTCTCCTCTCAAAGAGGTTGGCCTTTGCTTCTGCACATGGCTTTACTGTTGGGCGTTCGCCCGTGTCATTCATTCCTTTGAATTACATTTCTTTTGTCAATCAAATCTATGTAATATGAAATCATAATTTGCATCACATATACTTCTAATCTCTTGGATCAATTGACCACAATATGAGACTCACATCTTCCTGGGTTCCCAGATCTTGGATCTATAGATATCAGTACAACAGCACAAGGGTACTTACAGTACTCTTCCTTACCATCAGCAGAAGGTGTATAAGCACTGCACAATGACATCTTCACATGCAGCCATACATGAACCCCACCTACCTTTAATCCGATCACTATGAGTCATTTGAATTTCAACCGATACACACTACTTTCTACTCACTAGAGATCATGTAGAGCACGGATATATATAGATGGACAGTTTCATACCGAATTCCTAGAATCTATTCATAGTCCCAAATAGAAAAGCGTGTAGTATCCATCAGAGGAAAAAATCAAAATGCATACTCAAACTGTCCCTTAGTCACAAGCCCTCCAGCAACAGGTCATACAACTAATGGACGCGGTAAGGACACAAGGCATCCAAATGCAAGAGAAGCAACAGTAGATTGGCAAATAGAGCAAAGTACTGTGGTCAATATTACATCAACTAATTAAAACAGGGAATCAAGAATGACAAACCAAATAAAGTGAAATAGAAAATTATGAGAAAATAAACACTAAGCAAAAGTACCGATGGTATAGATTGGGTTGCCATCAAAATGAGGCTGGCATTGGGTCATCAACATTCGTTCCAAGTCACTTGGTTAAAGGTTAGATCATATTAGCACGTTCCATTTGTGGTACAAGGTATGGATCGTGAATAGCAATGAAGTGAAAGGTAGGTGTGCAGCGTGCTCCCCTATAGGCTACCCTCAATCATCGGGGCGATGATCTCCCCTCTCATCCTATGAGCGAAGACGTTTGGCTGGCTGACCTCGGTAGCTGAGCGATAACTCTATCTCCAATGATGTAGTCAAGTCATCTGATGAGCAAAGAGACGGGCTCATAGACGGGGTTTCTCGGTGGAACGAGGCTGTAAGGTACCGGGAGCATTCGGTTCACTTGGGATCGTACTTCTCTTTCCATATCCTGTAATTCGAGTAGTGAGCATGTCAGCCTAAAATTCGGACAACTCGTAGGTAGGTAGGGGTGGACATTGTGGTTGGTTGCAGGTGTGAGAACGGTTTGCATGGCGCAGCTGTAAAGATGCAATGAGAGCCTATCGATTGAAGCGCTGCCGCTGATCCCTGGCATGATATCTGCAGGTGATAGCGAAGCGCGAATCCATACAGGCGACACTTCACCACATTCTTGACAACCTTTGCAGAGGAAACGCCCAAGATCCCAAAATAAAAATAATTAACTAAGGGGTCGGCCTAACGTACCAAGAATTCCCAACTAATTTACTTCCTTTCTGTTCGGCCAATCGGTAATATTTAGCAGCCGCGAACTAAACATGGAGGGATTGGGTTAGTCAACTGGACAAACAGGAGTTCCCAAGGGGACCAAGCGCAAGAGTGATGCGAATCGTAAAGTATTGATGCCCAAGAAATGAGACCATGATGACCAAGGTAGGTATAGCAAAAGTCTTGGAGTTTGTACCCTCGCCAGAAGGATGCGCACGACGCAATCAAACGTACCTTATCTTTTTTCCCGCCAAAACCCTCTAGGTAACACCACGCGACCTCATTCATGGCGTCAGTGTCACCTAGATTCGCGGCCGTTTCGAAGTACTGTCGCGCTGCCGCAGGGTCTTTCTTGACTCCCCAGCCGTTGCGGAAGCAGTTACCCAACTCAAAGATAGCAAGGACCAATTCTCCCTTAGCTGCACCGCCCTTTTTGATGCCTGCTTGGAGAGCCTGGGACTCAATCAATGCCGAATTAGATGCCGCAGCCGAGAGATAGGTCACCGCCTGTTCTTCCGATTTGGGGCATCCCCATCCATGCCTGGAGACAAGTCTGGTTAGAGCGTGTCCAGTACGAGGAAGAGTGAAAGGTAGCACAAAAGGGTAGGGTGTTGTTGGGAGGGCACAAAAGAATCTAAATTGCTGTATAATTCCTACCTTAGTGCGAGGCCGTATAGTACTTGACTCAGTGCATTGTTTGCGCCGTTGGGGTCTGCCAACCGACGAAACATCTCTGTTGACTTCTCCAGTTCTGCAAAGGTAACTTGTGTTAGTGCATGTCTCCGAGTGCCTCTGTTATGGCTTATTCCCTACCTCCAGCTTCATGGAGCCGAATTGCTTCTTGGATGTTCACCTATGCATGGCATTAGTCTTCAAACTAGCAATCAACACAACCGCAACTGCCGTGTATCTCTTACATCTCCTTGAGGGTCACTCAAACCACTTCGACTAGAGCTCCTTGACCGCGAATCTATACTGTTTCTTCCAAAGCCCGGCGAAGTAGGTGATAACGGCGATCCAAGATTCGGGTTGCGCTGCACCAAGACCGTTGCTCGTTTCTCCCATTGAGCTTCTCTCTCCTGCTCATCGCCTTTCACATTATTTATCTGCGGAAGGTCTGACGGGATATTGGTCGAGGTAGCGATAGATTTCCGCGAGCTGCCCCGATCACGATGGAGCAATTGCGACAGCCTTCTTTCGCGCGGTTGAGACGGCGGAGATCCTAGGGACTCAGATGGCGCTCTCGAACGATTGAATGGATTCAGTGACCGACGGCGCGACGAAGAGCTAGGCGGCGACACTTCGAGATGTGTGTTCTGATGGTGGTAGACATCATCGCCGTCATAGATGGGTGGGGTGACGACTTCTTGGGAGGTGGTATCGGATCGAATAATTTGAGGCACCGGGCTCAGAAACGAGGAAGGGACACCAGCCGCATATTGGTCACTGGTATCGTTGATTCTGTCCTTCTTGTGAAGTATCTCTCGCAAAGGCATTTTTGCTGCGCGTGCTGATCACTCGGAGAACTGCGGAGCAGACCTCGGTAACTAGTACCCGAATTGTTTGCAGCGTTTAATTTGAGTTGAGGAATTGATAAATGTGGAGAGAAGATGACAAGCAGGAAGAAAACCGGGGAACAGTGGACGTTGAAATATCATGCCAAACACGGGCAAAAATAACTTCAGCCTTATGGTCGAATGGTAGGGAGGCAGAAGCGCCGGGGTTGGGGCAGTGTCAAGAGGTGGTGAACCTTGTACAAGAACAATTGATGATTATTTTTAAGTTAGTCAGTGCCTGTCATGCTTTTCTTTCATCTCTGCTCTGGCCGTCTTGGCCCCCAATTGCCGTAATATAATGAGTCTTGTCATTTCTTTTCGCATCACACAGTTAAAGCCTTTACCCCGCGGATTCTTCATGTAGATCTCTCTTGATTGCATGTGTTTGGGTACCATCAATGAACTGTACCGCAATCTCTCTACATCGCCGATTATTCGATCCAGAAGTCGAGCATAGGAACGGACCAGGGTTCAATGCAAGGTATTCAACAGAAAAGGTCTATCGTCTGAGATAGTTGAATGCGATGACGTCTCGATGTCTCAAAAAATGCATGCATTATTGTGTGGGTTTGTCAGCAGCAGACATGCAACCAAAGTGCCTTTTATGCAGACTAAGTTGTGGTCCACACCGTCTTGTTTCATCCAGCACAAAAGCCATCCACAAGCAATCAACCATTCGTATACTCTTGAAATATAAAGGTTAGTTCCAGTCCAGAGAATGTATTAGTTACTTCTTGCTTTGTTATAGTTAAGGACGTTTTCTCTCACTTCCACCCTATGCCATTGATCGTGATCATAACGCACAATGAAAACGGAAGAGACGGAAATCGAACGGCACAATAATAATAATAATGATAATAAGAATTATAAAAACCAACAGTAGACTTGTAAGACAACCAGCGTTGAGTTTGAAAAGAGATCCTTTGCATGCCTAGTACTGAGCATTTGAGCATTCAAGCCACAGAGGCGCCGTAGTTCCCCATCCCTTGTTAATTCAGTGTCCGCAAGTTTCTTCGGACATATCAAAAGAGATCCGATTTACATTAGGGCATTAGCTATTTTGCTTAGGAACTCGTATTGGTATGTCTAATGTAGCACAGGAAACAGATCTTTAATTTATACATATTGCTAATAGCGAGGCTATTCATGCAACGTCCATTTACTGGGCCTTGGAGGAGGTCATGATGCCTATGAATCCAAATTAGTACTGAAGCGAACCGGCAAAAGTTGGCTCTAATTATATAACTTACGCTCAACATCGGCAACGCTCTGCTGGAGGATCTGCTGGAGGACCTTGGGGTTCTCAAGTTCCTTCTGGATCTTGCCGATGACAGACTCGGCAAGCTCACGCTGCTGGCGCTGCTTGACCTGACCTTCGTAGCGAACCCACGAGTCGAGAGCCTGCTTGGCCTCGTGGGCAAGGGCAGTGCGCTGCTCGAGCTCATAGGCCTGAGCCTCAAGCTGGGCGGTTTCCTTTGGTCGATCGTCAGCAATCCCTTGTTTCATGAAATCCCAGCATATGGCTGGATAACGCAAGGCTGGTTTACCTTGGAAACAGCGAAGAGCTGCTTGGTGACCTCAACAACACCAGCAAGCTCCTGGACGTTGTCCATACGCTGCTTGACAGCGTTGGTGTGGTCGGCACGGGCAGCGTTCAGGATATCCTTGTGCTTCTGGACCTGGCCCTCAGCCCACTCACGGTACATGGGACCACCGTACTTAGCAGCGGCGGTGAAAACGCTGAGGAGACAGAAAGCAGCAACGGTTTCCTCGTTCATGACATAGAGCTCATTGCTGATAGCGGCAATGGAGAGACCGGCAGCGGCGGAGAGGGTAGCGGTCTTGGAGACCAGGGAGTTGCCGGGGAGGGCGTCGAGAATCGACTGGGCCTTCTTCTTGGGGTCCTCGGTAGGGACGTTGGAGGCCGAACGAGACACGGTCAGGTTGGCGATAGGAGCGACGTTGCGCGTGACGGTCGGCCGGAGCCGGGCAGCACCTAACTGGGGTTAGCGACAAAAATCGAGTGTTCGACGGGGCCGGATAGAGTTGTGTGAGGCATACCAATGGCGCTCTTAGCAAGACGCGAAGCCATTGTAACGATGGGAAGACCTTGACAAGATGTGATGGATGAACGGAACTGAGGAGACTTGAAGTCGGGATGGTTTGGGCGGTGCGGGAAGACACTAGCCTACTCCAGTATAGCGCGGCTGATCGGAAAAACCGTTAACCGAGGAATTTCCAAAAATTCATGGTTTGAAGAAGAGTAAATGCACCAAAAGGCGTACGATTTCCGTTTGGACTACGTTATCAAAATTTTCGGACACAATGCCTGCCCCTACGGTCGGAGCTACGAGCTCCAAGAAAAGAAAGAACCTCAAAGAGAGCGGTGTCCCGTCGTCGAAGCGTCGTGCAGTGGCAGAGAACGATAGCGCAGATGTGATGGTCGAAATCTCTCAATTGGAAGAACAGATTTCCGAGTCGCGAAAGTACTACAACAACATCGCCAAGCTGATTTCGATGCTGAATGTGGACGAAAATGCTACCAATCCAAATTTGGCCGTCGCAGTATCCCTCTGTCGAGTGTTCAGTAGATTGATTGCCGGTGGAGATATGGCGGAGACAAACAGAGCCGCAGAGAATGAGAAGATCATTGCAGCATGGCTGAAGGAACGCTGTCGCGAATATCAGAAGGCGCTTTCTGCCATACTGCGTGAGGGGGATACGTCTGCTAAGGTCCGTCGCTCCCAGCTGGCTCCCGAGTCCGACTCAATGCTAACCCTCAAGCAGCTCACAGCCTTCACTCTCTGCATGCGCATGATCAGCGAACGTGCTACCCATATCCCTGGCGAAGATCCTCAAGTCTGGCTATCTGGTTTGTTCAAGAACGTTATCGAAGCCGTTGTCGAAACCGGCGACAGCGAGGCACTGCGGTCTGAGTTCCTTGAGAAGTTCGCAAAGGAATACGAAGACGTGCGGTTCTATACATTCGTGCAGATTGCGTATGCCACACCACCATTCTCCCTTAACAAGTCCCAAACAGTACTAACAACCCCTAAAGCGACATCGCAGGAACGAAACAAAATACAAAAACCCTTGACATCCTCATCTCCATACTATCAGCCTGCGACACGGTCCCCAGCCCCCAGCACGAATTCCAGAACTTCTATGTCAAATCCAGCAAAAAGAACAAGAAGCTCGTCTCAGTCAATTCTCACAAGAAGCGCGCCCAAGACGCCTGGCTCGCCGTCCTCCGAAACAACATCTCCGAATCCCAGCGGAAGATCCTCCTCCGCATCATGGTCCACAACATCGAGCCCTGGTTCAGCCGTCCCGAACTGCTCATGGACTTCCTAACAGACTCCTACAACGTCGGCGGTGCAACCTCCCTGCTCGCCCTCTCTGGTCTATTCTACCTTATCCAGGAAAAGAACCTGGATTACCCTCAGTTCTACCAAAAGCTCTACTCGCTCCTCGATGCCGACTTGCTCCACTCCAAACACCGTTCCCGCTTTTTCCGCTTGATGAACACTTTCCTCGCCTCCACCCATTTGCCGGCTACTCTTATCGCCAGCTTCATCAAGCGTCTCTCTCGTCTTGCGCTTAACGCCCCTCCAGCTGCCATCGTTGTGACCGTCCCCTTCATCTACAACCTCCTTAAATCACACCCCACCTGCACCTTCATGCTCCACCGCGTTATCAAGGACGAAGCCAAAGCCGAATTGGAGGCTGAGGGCATGGACGACCCGTTCGATCCAGAGGAGCCCGAACCGGTTCGTACAAACGCCATAGAGAGCAGTCTATGGGAGATCCACTCCCTCCAACAACACTATCATCCCAACGTTGCCGCGATTGCACGTATCTTATCCGAGCAATTCACGAAACAATTTTATAACCTTGAAGATTTCCTGGACTATACCTACCAGGGTATGGTGCAAGCGGAGCTGGGAACAGAGGAGAAGCCCATGAAGCGGATCCCTGTTATTGAGTATCACATCCCCAAGCGGATATTTACCGATCGAATGTTAAAAGAGGATGGAGGCGTGGATACCGCGCCGGGGAGCCTTGTCAGAGGGTTATGGGATTTCCCATAAGGGTTACGCGCGATGCACAGGTATATTTTAGATTTTCTTTTTCTTTTTTAGCGTATATAATTGGACTGGTTTGATTAACATACAACGAATATAAGTTTACACATCAGAACCGTCAAAAAATGTATAAAAATCTTATCTTACCATTCAATCTATTTAATAGACCTCCTTACTCTAAAAGCAGGAGCTAACTGGAATAATGGATCTATCTAAAAAAAAAAATCATGAAGAAGTCCCAGCATTAAAACATCATAACCCCAACTCCAGAAGAACAGCAAAAGAGCCACCCAAATCAGATCTCACCAACGCCTTGCCGGCCGACTATCATCGGGCCTCCAATTGTCAGCCCCATAATACCCTTCCTCCAGATATTCAACCTCGGCATTATTCCCTGTATAACTCGTCAAAGGCATATAGGACCCCGAAGCCGCCGACGCCGCCCCCTGCTGCCACTGGCGGTAAAGGTAAGGTGAAACAGCAACCATGTCCACACCCGACTGCTGAACAAAATACTCGGGCCACATACACTCGTGCTCCTCCGCCACCGGATCTCCAGGATGATAGTCGCAGAAGACGTCTAAAGCAAAGACACCCCGCTTCATGTCGTCGAAGAGCTCATCGCTCACCTTGACGGGGATGCCCTCGATATGCACGCGCATTTTGTTCAGGATGGCCTGCGCCTTCTTGCGTCGCCGTCTGCGTCGCACGCCGACTTCGTCTTCCATTTGTTCCAGCATAAGCAAAATGTCTTTTTCGGTTGGGGCGTGCGCGACGGCGTATTCCATTCGCTGAGTGAGCTGGTGGAGTTCGTTTGCGACGGTCCGGAACAGAATGTCGACCTTGGTGAGGGCGGCAGTGACTCGTGAGCCGAGGGAGCGTGCGAAGGCCCGTGGATAGAGTCGCTCCCAGAAGGCGAGCCAGTAGAAGACGCCTGTTCGTGACTTGCGGAGGCGGGTGAGTTCAAGCGTTGTGATGACACTTTGGCAGAGTGCGAGAGTGTGAAGGGCTCCTCTTCTGGTGTCTTCTATGGAGGCTTGGGATTCGTCTTCGTTTGTCGGTGCTGGCTCTTCGGGGCTTGGTGAGTCAGCCCGGCTGACGCTGTCTATCGATCTATAGAATCGATGTGAAGAGTCTGGTGCTGTGGGTTTGGCTGGAGGCAGTTCCGTTTCGACGGTCTGCGATGGAGGTCCAGCGTGTATTGGAGCCGCTGGGAGTTGTGTTTGCAACATCCCCGTAATAGCTGACTGGACAAAAGTATTAAGATTACTAGATAAATTGAAGTCTCATGTAAAGCGGAATCAAGTGATTTGCGATGTTGGTTGAGGAGAACAGAAACGAAGGACAAGGTGACAATCAAACGAGTGTGGGATTAAAGAACGATTTGGCGAACTATGTCATGAGTAGAGATAAAGACATTGTTATTCTTCAGTGAATGGTGACTGAGTTGGGAAATGTAGATACAACAACTGGTATTTGAAGGAATACAGTTTTTGTTCGAATCCATAACCTCTGTGAACATCCTGAGTGAGTATGGACCACAAAGGAAGGAACGCTGGAGTGGTTGGGTCGATAGCGAGATAAAAGCAAATGTAACTCCATCCAGGGCCAGATGCAACCGAATAATTCCGGAATGGAATTTTGCAGAGGAATTTGGTCTATTTAAGCGGGTCAGCGAGGGTGATAGTTTTCCATAGTCGGTATGGATGATGTTGGCTGCATTTCCGTTTTCGATATGCAACGGTCAAGCCCTAGAAATAAGGCTGAGACGGACTGTCACCGTTACCATCCCAAAATAAAATCGAATCAATTAACTGGATTATTTTTGGAAAATATGATTCTTCCCTTTGGAGATTTCTTTCAGTTCTTTGGTAGCGGCCAATCAATTGAGGAGTGATTACTCTTCATTTCAACTTCATTTGTCCTCTCTAATAGACCTACCCCTGGACTTTTGTTTCGCGTTATTTATTCCAAATAAGATCATAGAGATAAAAAAGGGATGGAAAGAAAGTTTTTCTTGCGTACCATTTTCTTGGACCTTCTTTCTTCTCTCCACCTACGATGTCTGATTTCTACGCCCCATATCTGCAAGGGGCATTGTACGTATGTATGCTTGGAAACGTCAACGACTCCTTTGTGCTAGAAACAACCATGTAGCCATTTAGGATAAGTACGATAATTCAATGCCCATGTAATAAGCTTGTAAGCCTTAATACTGATAGCGCTGGCCGGCGAATGGTCAGCTTTTAAGCATCAGACCCAAAGAAATCTATGGAGCCCTTAGTTGGAAAAATCCACTTCTCAGACTCCCGCTTCTTCTCTCATCTTGTCGCTATTGATGAACCTGCACCGATCGAACAGCTTCTCCCTGTACATCGCGTTCTTAATAGCAGTTTTAGCATCATGCTGAGGACCTTCGGCAATAGTCACAGGTGTGATTCCATAGGGGCCACCAAAGATCTGCAATGAAAGCTTTCCCGGGAAATCATTCTGCAAGTCCTCCTTTGCAATATCAAAGAAGCTAGCAGGCCATGTCTCGACGCCACTAACATGACCTTCAGGATTGCCATTGTTCACGAACTTGGCGATGGACGTACTCATGGCCCTAGCAAGCGCAAGCTCGGCAGCTGAGTTGTCTGCACCGCCCTCCAGATGTTGAACGTTCAACACATAGGGAATATCACTAAGGTGCGCAACGCGCCACATTGGGACCCCCATCATCTCGAACGCGGGTGTAAATCTTGTGGAGTTATGTTCATATAACCAAACCTGCGATGGTTTCACGCCCCCATTTTTGAGGTATTGCCATGCAAAGTCAAGCACGGGGCAGGTGAACCAAATGTCTCTGTTCATCTGTGCTGCACGGTAGTACTGTGCAGAGATAGGGCCGTCATATTCTTTTCGGACAAGATGCTCAAAGTCTTCAGGTGGGTATAGCTGTAGAAGTTTCTCCTTTGTAGAATTAGAGAGACTAAACAGCCACAGGCCAAAGCTGTCTAATACTTCCTGATCTGTAGAAGTCGACGGCGGTGCATACCAGGCGCCATCATTTGTCACCCAGGATGCGATCACCGGAATCCCTTTCACGAATTTCCCAGAGCGCATGAGCTGGGAAGGCCGGTCACAGATGAAGTCACCGTCGAATGTCGGGAAGAAAAAACCCTCGCCAAAAGGTGGGCGGGCTGTTCGAGAGGTCGTTACAGAAAGATTCGTCAAAACATCAAAGGGCAAGTCCCGTAAGCATTCCAAGGTCTCTACAGATTGATCCTCGCCCTCTTTAGCACACCCAACTCTATTCGCGATGGCTGCTGTGTTGTTCGCGACCAAGTCTGACTTGGTGTTGAAGTTCAAGCCTGGCCCACCCGACATCATACTATACTTCCAAGTCAGCACAAAACTTTTGTTCTCTCACGATTATATTACATTGCTTGTTGGAACGGAACTCCCTTTTTCCCTTCGAATGAAGTCAAATGCAGACCAATATCACTGGCGCCCACGCTTTGTCCCACGACAGTGACTTGTAGAGGTTGAAGTTAGCTACAGCTGGTAAGCCGTCACTTAGTTGATCATATTACCTCTTTGTGGATCTCCACCAAAGACCTCAATATTATCACGGATCCCTATGATTTACGGTGTGAGATGCCTTATATTCATAGGGCGAGAACTGGAAGATAGCTACATACACTCCAAAGCTGCACGCTGGTCACGAAGACCAGCGTTCGTCTGCTTATTTTCAGCCATTGCCTTGCTCGTTGCAAAGCCAAAAACTAGGTATACAGTTAGGTATGTCCTCAATTAAGGGAAAGAATACATTACAGCCAAGGCGATAATTGATGGCGACGTAAATCAGTGGCTGGCCATCCGCAATAGATTGCCTTACCAACCCGTCTGGATTGTATAAGACCTCAGAGGCAGAACCTAGAGCATGGCCGCCTATAACGCATTAGTATGCATCAGTAACTTGATGTATCTCCAGAAGTATTCTGTTTGCAATGTTGAACACCACTTTACCTCCATGTATCCACACCATTACCGGTAACCTCGCATCATTTCTGGTAGCAGTCGGTCGAGCAACCCTCAAGCTCAAGCAATTCTCACTGATGTTTACAACCCGGCTTGTGAAAGGGAGCACATCTCCAATCCCTTGTGGACACCAGGCTCCAGGGCGAGTGGCATCAACAACCGATCCCGTCGCGTACTGGAACGGGATGGGAGGTGCGAAGCGACGCTTGCCCCATGGTGCATCCGCATAAAAGATATTTTGATAATGCTCAACACCTAAAGAATAGCTGCCCAGATACTTTATATCTCGTGTTGAATCGGTCACGATCGGTGGGAAAATCAATCGTCTTCCACCTGCAGTAAATTCGAGGCCTTCGGTGTTTCGGGCTAACAACCCATCGAGCCGGTTGCGATAGAAAGCAAACAGGCCAGCAAATAAAGCAACCAGAAGGACTAGAATAGAGTTCCGAGTTTGCGTCATGGCCGGCGTTAATGTGTTCTCCAGTATTCAGGTATTTATATCGATTTTGCGGCGCCGTTAGGTAGCAGCATAGATAGAGGCAACCGCAGGGAGATATTTTAGGCCTGATTCAATTGTATGCCGCGTATTGGCTTCTATGAACATGACAGAAGGCAACAGGGGAAAGAAAAGCGGTGATTCAGTATCGTTGGGTGCGATTAGCAATCGCTGTCAGATTTGGGGCCCGCGGGGGTTACCTAGTTAGTCCCCTTCAACCAGGGTTTCTTTTCTGCAAGCCTTTGTGGTGTTTGGCCAAACACCACCGCCACTACCACCTTCATCCATGAATTGAACAGTTGACGTCAAAATAACCTTGGGATCTGAAAAATCTCTCCAGACTGGACAAGGTATTCCTTCCTATTATCTTCGGGACTTATGTCTATATTTACAGTATGAAAGTTTACTAGGCCTGGGATATGGAAAGACTTGAAACGAGATTGGCCTAACAGAAGTCAAATAGTCATCAGGACTACGAGATTAAAAAAACACATTGCGGGAATACACTGCAGGCTATCATGCCTCCCACATACGTGTATCATGATACCCACCGATTATTGAAGGGACGGGGGCTCCGTGATGTCGGCTCCTATGCTCCATGAGAAGGCACTCCCATAAGATCAGTCCAAAGAATGACCAGAGCATATGTGATACGACTAAAGAGTACAATATGGCCCCATCACCAGTACTCCATCTCAATTTGTTCCTTCTTCTGGTCAGAGAAAGCAGCATTCGGTTTGCTAGCCACTGGGACGTCACCAATGCTACTTCCCACTTCTTTGATACTCTCCAGCTTGTCGAAGTCCAAGCTCTTCTCTTCCGTCTTTATCATCGCGCCTATGGGCGATGTGATAATATCGTTGGGGATACTTGGGGTGTTCAGAGAACCGGCCACTGGCATCCGGGCAGCATCAACACAAGGTCCACAGTTCCAAAATCCAACGCCGTCCATATTCTGAACTACCGCTTTCGTTAGGCGGAGGAGATCACCAATACCTGCGGTCCCCACAGCGGTAGCGACCGGCCTGGATGGCAATGCTGGATTTGGACAGTCAGATATGCTGTTGTGCAGTAAAATAGCGTCGTTTCCAAATAGATCAAGGCTACGCCAATCGTCCGTGCGCTCTCCGACTTCGATATTCGCATTAGTCTTCAATATAGCATCAATGGCAGAGCTAACAAGCGAAACTTCATACCACTGCCCTCCCTTGCGTATCATCTCCGACAGTGGAGCGCTACGGGCTCTTATTGCTTGAGGGTCCGCGGGGTTAGACGCTATTAATAGATTCTGCACTTCTGTGACTTGCAATAGAAGATCTTGTGCTTCGGGGGTTTCACTATTGCCTTCACAATTCGTGTCCTTTGCAGCACTCTTGGATCCCACAGAACCAGTAGCAGAATCTGCTTTTCCCCCGGTCGATGATGAAGTGTTGGGGGTGTCGGTGCCTTCAAGGGAGAAATCGTTTGAACGAATATACCGATAGCGGGTCCAGCGCTTCATAAGGATTTTTTCAACGGTCAGATGTTTGTCTTTGGGGAGTTTAGTGAAAAGACGGACGAGGTGTTTATCGGGCGGAACCCAGAGATGGTCCACCATATATCGGGCTGCGTCTTCAAATTCCTGGTATCCATGGATAGGATATGCGACATTGCCATGGACAATCATCCGAGCATCCCAGATACTACCAGGAAAGTGAATATTGACTGCACCTAGCGCTTCGGTTTGCTTCTTGACGGAATACTTTCCGCGTTCATCGACTTCGACGATTATAGGTTGATCTGTTTTAGAGCGACAATGGAACTCATAGAAAACACTATACTCGCTGTCTTCATGTTCGAAGAAACGGCGCTTCCCATCTTGTGATGTTTTCAAGTCCACAATATGGTCAACGTCAGATCCCGATGTTGTGAGCCTATCAATGAACTTGGTAGTTGGTGCAGATACGCCAGTCCGTGGTTGCATTATCTCTGTCCACTCTCTCAAGGAAACCAGACCCTCCTTGTAGGTTTTCGGCAGAACTGGAATCAATGCGAGACCAATCTGAGCCTCCAAAGTCAAAGTTCCAGGGAAATATTCGGCAGCTTCCAATGTGGGTTTTAGGATCTCAAAGAGCTGTTTGATACTTTCATTCATGCTCAACTCTCCTTGCTGTTTCTGGGCATGTTGCACATTTTCCTGCGTCGTGTGTCGGGCGGACGTGCCTTTAGCCTCCATAATTCCAGAAGGAGCTGGGTTGTCTGAAACCTGTTTCTTTGTCGGCTTTTTTGGTATTCCCCAGGCATCCTCCAGAGTGGCTTGCCTCTTCGCTTTTCTCAAAGATTTGCTCGAGACATTGTGACTTGGCTTGGGCGCTTTATGTTTCATGGTATGATGATACTCCCTGGTAGCCACCTCATCGCTTTGTTGTTTTCCTTCCGCTTTATGTCGTCTCTCGAGCTCTTCAAGTCGCCTTCTGGCCAGGATCGCATTGATTCGACTGGGGGGACTTGGAGAATTGACAACGCGTGCGGGGACTTCACTAATTGTGATTGACTCTCTCATCTGCTCTAGGAAAACCTCTTCCAGTATGACGAGCCTTTTGACCTGCTCTGAAAGATTGCCATTTCTGCCCGGTTTTGCTCCCCCATGTAATACAGGGCAACCAGCTTCGTCTTGAGATCCATAATCCGCTTCGATCACTAAGCCATTCAAGTCGTCGGCGATGTTGTTTACTCGTGAGGAGGCATTGCTTTTCAGAGTCGAGTATTCCGAGTCTAGACTTGAGATCAGTGGTATCAGAGCTGGCTGATCTGCGCGCATCATCGGAAGATAATTCGTTTTTATAGCTGCCGGTGCGGCCACATCAACAAGCAAATTGTTCGTGTCGAGCTTTTTGTTCGTCCGAGAGAATACATACTCGCCTTTTCTTTGAGCTTGGAGAGCAGTTCGATCATTATTTTTATTGACTGGAAGACGTGGATCCTTATTGAGCTCATGCTTCGTTTCGTCAAAGATCAGGGGGATGCATGGTTTCGGTGCAGCAGGTGTCGAAGCATTAACGAAGGAATCAGCGGCATCTCGCAGCTCACAAGGGCTAGTGGGTCTAGGGCAGCTGACACGTACGTCTGTATTCCCCGATTCCACACTATATGTCATTTTCCATTTTCTGCGGGGCGTGGGAACATCTTCATTCTTGAGTACAAGATCAGGGGTCTTGACACGTTCAGGTTTCGTCACTGGCACCACGGATGGAACTGGCTGGCTGGATCGAATAGCTGATGGAATAGGCCGTCTTGTTTTGATAGCGGGAACTCTCTTAGCACCTGGGACCAATGTTGTATTGCTTGAAGACTCGGGTGGTGGTGGTGTAGGTGGGTGCTCAGGCTGTTCGCTGGTTGCCTTCATTCCCTTACCCTCAGCGACCCATTCATTGACTTGTTTAGCCTTTTCGGCAGTCAGAAAAGGATGGGTGGGTGGGATCACTGAGGTTGCAGCCGGGATAACTGTATCTTCAACAGATTCCAATAGAACAAACTCATCCCCTTTGCCAACCTCGGGGAAAGTATAGTTTTGCCATATTATAGACTTTCCCGGTTCTTTGTTAATTGACTGTGGATTGGCAACATTCTTAGGCAGCATGTAACTCTGATATTTTCCATCGAATGAAAGAGAGGTAGTGACAAACATCTGGCTGATACCGAGATTCGAACTCGTTGAGGGGTCGGTTAGAACACGGCGAAGAGCCACTTGGTTCAGACTGCCGTAATTCTGGATTCTATATTGGGCTGTCTTGTCTTCTGTGGCTATACCCATGTTACCCACCCTGTGGTTGACAAGGCAAGACTGAGAAATGTATTTGGTTAGTGGCTAAGTGAACTTGATGAGGCGAGTCACGTACCAAAGGTTTCTCAATCCGAGTGAGTTTCGCCAAAGCGTCGTCAACATCTCCAGCGCTATTCCCAGATATCTGGATGCCTTTAACCTCATCAACCAATGTGGTCTCCGTCCCCGTCACGGCTGCAACCTCAATGAGGACTTCACGAAAACCGGTCGCAAAGCACCCAATGCCCCCATGCGATGACAGCCAAAATTTCGTGACGCGAGTCATTAAATGAGAATGATGTATCAACTCCTCATCCGAATCAATGTCAAGGGCCAGGAGACCCCCTAGGCTATCTTCGGTAGTAGCGACGGGAAGAGAAGCTCCATCGTCTTGAAACATGATAGGAATGTCCAGTTGACGAGTTCGTGGCATCTTAGATTTGTTGTAGTATATTAGCAATAGGCCATCGCTGAACAAGAAGGGCAAGAGACATACATCAAGAAGATCTTTATTCTTCTGGTCTTCAATAAAGGTTGACACAAGACCCGCGATCTTCGCTGCAGAGCCGTTCAAATGTCCTTTCACCACAAGAAGCTAGCATACGTGAATTAGCAAGGAGTGGAAGGGGTCGTTTTTTTGGAAGGAGGACTTACATCGTCATGTCTGAGGTACTCGCAATGGCAATCCAGGTGAGGTAGTGCTTTCCTATGGCAGCCATCAGTACCGGCGGAATTGTCATTGGGGATGTTGAGGACGAACTTCATTTCAATACCAATATCTTGCACCTATTGCCATCCCTGGTTAGCAAATAACCTGCATTAAAGGACTAAGGAGAGTCTTCTTTACCCCTATGTCCTCGAACGCCCAAATGGACGCGAATGATATGTGCTGTTTAGACGCCATCCTTCTGGCGCTCTAGAAGCAACTCCCGCACATCAAAGGAGGCAACTGTAATCACGAAGAGAGATGTAGCTTGAAAAGAGACGCGAGATAAACACTATAGGATGGAACGAAGTAAAGCAGAAGAGAAGATTATGGCAACTAGAAAAAGAGAGTAGTTGGGGTGGCAAGTGAGCGAAAGAAGGGTGTGAAAGGAAAGGGAAGTGAGTAGGGGAGACGGATATAAAATCTCCACATCACCAAGACAACAGCGGAAGGAGACCTTGATTGAGGGGAATCTTGATACTTGCAGTTAAGTAGGTCCAGTACCTATTAAGACTCTATTCCCAGGAACAAGACAAACACCACACGGGTAGATGCAACCAATGGTGAAGAATTATCTGGTAAGGCGCAAACGCAAATTGAATGGTGATGTGGGGTATAAACAGTTGAGAAACATTCACAGTTGAAAAGAGAGAAACAGAAGAATAAGGCGTAGGCAATCTAAGGAAGGAGCAGGCAATGAACCCCGGGGACCTTGACCGGAGACAGCTGTATACAAAGAAGGACATCACGTGTCTGTCCAATGTGTTAATTCACAATTTCAACACTTTGTCTGGATTCATGTATGTGCATGTTGATAATATATCTAACAGAGTCTAGGCATTGTGGCCATCACTGTACTGTAAATGTGATCTAACTAGCGGGTGATATGGCAGTGAATTTCCCCCAGGGTATCAAACAATCCCAAACTCCAAATAACAGCGATTGAGCCCGGGCAGATTAGCCGGGAAGTAGAACGAGATGCTTTCAGAGAAGTAAAGGGGAGATATAGACAAGTCATAGAAAAGAGCAACCTGGGGAGTACGCCCAAAGTTCGAGAACCCCTTAGTCAATTAAGGAGGTAGACAAGTTGTGATAGGAGTGTCCTCAGCATATAGAAAGGAAACTGTCGAGTGTCAGGCAAATAAAATGCAGTGTTATTGAAGTAGCTGGGTTAACAAACCTGCCAATCCACCTAGGCTTTCACGACCAGCGCTAGCTGCCTGTTGAAGGAAAGAAAAGGCCACCGTGGGTGCGGCATGAGCCTTATAGGTCCACCTTTAGTTGGCACCTTTGACCTCGTTCTTGACCTGAATTGCCCATTTCATTCGATCTTCAGTTTCCTTCAAAGAAGCCAAAGCTGCGTCTAAGTCGGCATTGCCCTGGCGACCCCTTTCAACGAGTGCGTGGACTTCTTCATCATGGGCTTTTTTATAAGACTCGTACACCTCAAAAAGCTTGTCAAAATTTTCTCGGCCAATCTCAATCTCACGATTTTTCTGGGCCATAACAGCATCCAAGCGCTCAAGGTGCAGGCCCTTTTCTTCTTGCCGTGTTTTTAGAGCATCGATCTCATCGCGAATCACCTTCACCCTCCTCTGTTGATCTGCTCGCTCACGTTGTCCAGCTTTGGCGAGCACGTCATACTGGGTCCGGGCATGGTTTGCGATCTCCTGCAACTCCGCGCATTTCCGATTGAAATCATCACGACTTTCATCCATCAGTTGATGAAATTTGTTCGTCTCCGTCTCTGCCCGCAGTCGTCTATCCTTTTCGCTCTGCACCTCTGCGCGTAACTCCTCGATTTTCTTATCCTTGCGAGAGATCGAATGTAGGTTCGTCTCGTGTGCCTGCTCCAGGTTCCGGAGACGTTCCGTCATGTTCTGTACCTGTGTCTTAAAAGCATCGTTCATTCGCTGCGTTTCTTCGGCCCGGGAACGATAGACACTGCACTCTCGCGTCAAGCGGGCAATATCCTCCTGTAGATTATGTATGACACGACCGGATTTGCCCGTGGCTGCGTGACCGACTGCCGAAGACCATTCAGTTGTCATTGAGTCACTGTTAGTAAGGGTCGAACCATTCGTTCGGGTGTTCGAGGAATGCGAGTTAATCGACTCTGTAGCAATGTGCAAGTAATCTCACAATAAGCAACTGGTGACTCCATGGGTCTGATTTCGGATGACGGCTAATCAGAGCCCGATAATGGTAGGGGGGGGGAAAAAACCACCCACCTGCAGAAGATTCCACAGCCTTTAGACGTTCCGGGGAGTCCAGATCAAAAAGACCGCTATATTGATGCATATTCAGTTGGGTTTCCACATGTGGTAGGCTGACACGAGGGGACCGTCGCGGAGGATCTGACGTAGGTGATACAAGCATGTCCGAGTTAGCATTGTTGGCTACTGCTTTTGGCGTTTTCTTGGCCCGACCGAATCGGGCCATGCTCGGCATTGTGGGTATTTTGTTGGAATGTTGGGAGCTACGGGAATGACCATAAAAGGGGACCCGTGAAAAGAATGAATGAAGTAGGAAGAGTGATAACACGGTAAGAGTAGGAATACCAGAAGTGGAAACGCAGATGTAGTCAAGGCTATAAGCAAGGAGCGAACCTCACTTCTCAGGCACAACAAACCAGCCTTCTGCACCTCACGGCTCAGCCAACGAGTTTCTAACCGTCGGGATCATGAAACTTCGGTTGTGCAGAAGGATGGCAAGCTCCCAGGACTTGGATATTTGGCATGCATAAATTGATGCACAACCGACTCCGGATGGGTAGTGGGAAAAAAAGATGTACATACCAAGGAGTGGATCAAGACCTTTGATTGCAGGAGATCTGCAGCAGAGCTATTACGAAAATTATTATCGGTGCTTATTCATCGCTGAGACATCATGATAGGATGGCGTGGGAAAAAAAGACCATAATAATAGATGTAAGGGAAGACACAGAAATGCACAGAGAACTGGTAGCGAGATGTGGATGATAAACTTACAGCCACTGCCCAACGACTAACTATCCACTGAGGGGAGTGAAGGATGCTTGATGGGAGAAACCACGAACAAAATCTGAGCAATAAACACAAGAGAAAGACAATAATGATCTACAAGAAACTTGATAGGTATAAGCAGAAAGATTAAACAGCGTTGAAGAGAAGAGAGAGAAGGATAATAAATAATAACAGTGGTGGATGTGACGAGAAGATTTGCCGCCGCAGATAGGTAGATCAATCATATATACCCAACGAACACTACCTATCGCAATGCAGAACATGCATATGTATCATGTACCTCAGATTAATGTGACGTGTCTGGAGATTCAAGGCAACCAACTGTGATAGATTTCTCGCCTGCCATTTCTGTTGGCTCTTAAAAAACAATAACTACATCCTGAGTGTTGCAACTCCACTAATTTAGGGTTTGTTATATATAGTTAGTCATCAGACCTCAAATCTGTACTGTTTATCCACCAGAACAATGCTTTCAATGTCATACTATATTGTCATACTATTAAAGAGTAAAAATAATTTTGCACAAACTGTATTTAGCCCCTCTTGCTGCACTATCTATTCCCTAGAAGAGATTTCTTTCCCCACCCTCATGTAGGCACAGCGGCTAGATATATATAAGGAAAGCTGCGTAGTCTGCAGCTCATCCCTAGCCAGTGTACCATGTTGCTCAGATGGTTTATTTTAAAACTCATCAGCCAAAAGGTTCTAAGCTCTACTTACACTATGCTAGATGCGCTCATCTTTATAAATATTACATCCAACGCTACTTCTACGGTCAAACCCCATGAGTTATTCACTGCATGCTCGTCTAGCACCATACTGTGAGCTTCAGGAGTCCACTTTTTGATTCCATAACCCATAAATTATAAATACGAATTAGGGAGAATTAGTAAAATTTTCAACCAAACGCTGGTATGCTAAAAGCAACATAATATTTCTTTTACGTACTTAATATATGATACCGTAGCCATAGTTGAGTGAAAACTGAAGGCAAAACTGGAATGTAACAACGGCGACAACGGCGACAACAAGAAAGACATTACATTCCCCGGGCTCTTCCCATAATTTATTAACCAACCATAGCACCATCTGGGTGGCCAAAAATGCGACTAGGAGACTATCCCCTCATTCTAGGATTGGGTAAAGTATAATAAACAAGCCAAAAATGAAGATCTTTGAGCAAAAGCCACCGCTTATAAACGTATCCGGGGCGCCCTGTCTCTGCACTCTGGGATATAATCCACTTTCTATTCCATTCACCACTGAGCAGGTATACTCAGACTGCATTCGACATTGAGCAGTGTTGAAAGTATTGATTTTTTGCTGAAGAGTCAACCTCATTGGCCGTGCTTGCCTAAATCTGTAAGTGAGGGTTAAGGAAGGCTCGTATGAGAACACTTGGATGTGGACTCCAGACTTGAATGAAATTCTTTTTGTATCCCTTTTCTTGAATTGCCATCAACTCTTATTGCACCGTGTTGCTGCCTTTTCTCCGTTGCTTGCATGCTTCAAATGCTACATCTCATCCATTATCTAACACTTAACAAGGCATAAACTATTCACCATGCGTGCGTTCGAATCTGCCTTCACAACCTTTGCCTGCTTGGCCCATGTTTGCATGACAAATGCATTGTCATTCACTCAGTGGCCAGGTGTCATCCATGCTGGCGAAGACAATACCGTGAAGTGGATCGGTGACCCTAATCTTGTATGTTGTGTCCAGACCTTGGTCATCCCCTATCGTTTATTTTATCCTGACATCGAAATCTTGTAGCCCACGACAATTACCCTTCGTAGGGGTGCGGCAAACAACCTTACCGATGTGGATGTCCTTACGCGTGATGCCCGCGGAAATGAATACACTTGGAAGGCCAGTAATGACCTGCAGGATGGTTCAGATTATGCTCTACAAATCCAACAAAACGAAGAAATCAACTATACGGGGCATATAACTGTCGAGCATCCCAACGGCCAAGCACCGTCTTCAAAAGGGCCGCCTCCCGATGATGACCCCGACTCAGATTTCAGCACAGCTCCGCATAATGCGACAACGGGTGTCGCAAAAGGTAATAATGCGACTTCTACCGTTCCACATATCAGACATGATGATAAACCAAGTACGGGTAATAACCACACTTCCAATAAAGGTGCCGTGTCTTCTAAGACGCAGTCAGACGATGCGTCTCTTCGCAACTGGTCGCCGAACTTGATCCTGGCCGTCGTCGCTATCTTGTACCTCAACTATTAGAACGAAACGGTTCACAATCGTCGGTTTGTTCATTCCTCTCTGCCTTTCAACTTGGAGGCAGTTGTTGTGGTCCTGCAGTGGCTGTTATGTGTTCTCCATGTATATATTAATACCCACCCGCTCGTTTGTACCCCTCAGAGAGATCGTTAAGAGTACTAGCCTCGTCATGATTCTGCTGGAGCTTCTTAGATCCCTGTGGTGGACCTCAGCTAATTCGCTTTCCTTTCATGGCTTTAAAGCCTCTTATTGGAGTGTTACATCTTTTAATTTGTCAAACAACAAAACTTGGCTGGTCCTGGTCCTAGCAGAAAGTTCAAATGTTATGAAGGTCAAATGGCATTTTGGTTTGGGAATCACGATAACCATTTATATCCTTTCGCCCAACTATACCGTACCTTTCAACCTCTTGAAGATATGTAGCCCACACTTCATAATGTATTTTCTACTTTTGCCCTTTTGTGCCACGCCGCACATGCAAGTATGAAGTGCCCCTTGCCAAATCTTTTAACGAACCCCGAAACATCTCTATTTATCAGATGCATTTTTCTCGCCCTTCCAGCCTGACTAGGTAAGAAACAGGCCGTTATATATGAAATGAAACATCAATATAAGAACACAAAGGCAGATATCATTTACTCATCGTCATCAGGAGCATCATCCACACCCCTGAGCCAGACACCTCGAGCATCAACAGCAGCTTTACGTACATCACGTTTCGGGTCATCCAGGACGAAGCCCAAAGAGCGAACCACCTGAGCCTTTACTGGTAGAAGTGGTGATAGTTTCCCTGCTTTAGCAACGGCGGGGGCATCAGAGGCTGGTGTCTGCGCGAGCAGGAAAAGGCATCTTAGGGCATCGACACGCAGTCGGGGACTGTTCACTGCGGCTACCTTATCGTTCGTGGGTTTATGTTCTGCTGTTTTGAGGAGGCGGGTTACCAGGCTCTGGATATGACCGCATTCTTCAATAACCCGGACACCGTTATCGCGGATGATGACGGCAAGGGTCTCAAGGGTTGCGGCTCGGACGGGTTGGGAGTCCGATGTTTGGAGGTCCAAACTTTGGAGGAGGAGCGGAAGGAGGGTAGGGAGTTCGGGCATTACTAGAGATGGGGGGATGGTTGATAGGATTCCAGACAAAGCTGTTAGGTGTGCCGGCTTGATATGCTCGGGGGTTGGAGAGTCACTGCCTGCAACATTGACTTCGCGGATTTTGCTCGAGATGAGAGGCACCAGAGTCGTGAAAACACGTTGCTTCGATAGTAGGCGGATATTGGCTCCGTTCGTGGCGGAGAGCACGTCGTCGTCTCTAAGGAGAATTGCGAAGCCACGAGCAGCTGTGGTGCTGGTTACTTCGTCAGGGGAGGAGAGAAGCGATAGCAATGAGGTTAAAAGATCTGTTGTCTTTGGAGCAAGACGCAGAACTAGGGCTTTTGAAAGCCAAAAAAGCGTTTTGATCGACTCGGGACTAAGTTTCTTCCCCTCAACATTAGAAGGGAGGAGTGTGTTGAACAATTCCGTAGCAAGGCTCAATTCGGACTTGGGCAAGAACTTGTTCACTAAAAGAGCAAGATGGCGCAGGAACGCAAGATGAGTTGCAGGTGCACATTCAGTGGTAGACCGCTTTACCACATCGAAGAGCAAAGCAAACATGTTGGGGCTGGTATAAGGGAGATTAGCGCAATCCGTCGGGAGTCCTGCAAGGAGATACGTCGAAATGATCATCGTGCGCTGTTGATCATCGCTAGCTGATTGCGAAAATGGAACAGGTAAAAAGTCATCAGCGGAAGAGTACAACGTATAGACGCTCTCCGCAACTTCATCCTGCTTATTTCTCGGCAGCGCCCGGACAATGAGGTTACAGAGTCTTCCAAGTGTATCCAAGACCGCGGCATCGTTCAAAATATTGTTGTTAGCCTTTCCTGAAGCTGAAACCGCAACATTGCGGCACAAGCTAACCACTATCTTGTCGTAGTACAACTCCAGGTTTGGATCTTGGTCCATCTTTCTTTGGCTCATAACATAGAGAATTGTTACAAGGATCGCCCTGGGGTAGGCTACAGAGCCTGGCTGTTCTTTCTGCAGCAAGATATTCAACTTGCTAAGCAAGCGACGAATTAATGTCTCAAAAATATCCTTCTCAACACTTATTTGTGCGAGGCTTTCCAGCGTTGGTAGGTAATTGGAGTTTGCCCCATCATCAAAGTCAGGAAGCGTGGCCACAAAGGCAGGGAAAGTAATATCCATGATCAGCCTCGGTTTATGCTTCGAAATTTCGGTCAAAGCTGCAATTGCTTCCTTTTTCAGGTCATCTCGGCCTACGGATTCCTCCTTTAGTATGATCTCGTCAAGATACTGCACAAACAAGCCCACTTCATTATCTTGGAAGAAGTTGCGCAGGGTGGAAAGACGTAAGAAACCCTTCAAAGCAGAGACACGGAAAGACACCTCTTCCTTGATCACACCCATTAAAGCCTGGCCAAAGATATCCGAAAACTGATCTTTGAACTCAAGCAGAGGGTTTTCCACATTCGTCTCAGGGGTACGATCTGTCCATTCACCGAAAATCTTGATTGCGGAGTCAAAAAGAACCACCAATGTGTCCAGAAGAGCCCTTTGCTTGGCGATGCCATCGGCTTCCTGATAGATCGTAAGAAGTGGCGCAACAACTGCCTGTACAGCCAACATAAACGATGCAAAGGAAGCCGTGGATATGAAGCCTAGAATCTGCTGTGCAGGCTTCGCTTGTTTCTGTTGTGGCTCTCGTAATTGATCGTTACATTCCCTAGTGATTGGTCGCATGTATTGTGCGAGAGGCAACTGATCAGATACCTGTGTGACCCCTTCTGATAATCGCTTAGCAATGTCTTGTAGAGCCTGTAAGGACAAATTAGACAGAAGCTCCTCCTGCGCATTGAGCACTTCGAACTTCAAAGCATCCCATATCGTAATGGAATATCTGGACACGGTATCCGGGTCATAGGAGTTGATACAGGCAATCAATGCATTAAGTGCATCTTTCTGTTGGGCTTGTTAGCAATGCTCTGAGAAGCCGAGGGTCACCTTACCTTAACATTCGGTGACGTCGAGTCAAGTTTATCTAGCAAAGATGGAATAGAATGCGGAGCAAACAGACTGGTCGATGAGATGCACTCTTGTAAACGATCTTTCAGATCCTGGGCTGTAATGCCGTATGGGTCATTCGGTGGTGGCTTGAATGTAATCGGAAAGTAGTTATACACGGAGTCAAAAAGTAACTTTAACCGTTAGCTATTGGCATCCACCCTAGCGGATTTACAGTGTATACCTCAGCGTGGTTGGCGATATCCCATTCCACCATCACGACCTTCAGGATGGAAAACACAAGCATGAGGTTCCTAGGGTCTTTTTCACCTGTCATAAGGTCCACTATTCCAACAAGCGAGTGGTCTTCCATATCGTGGAGAGCTAGGCTCTGTTAGCACTTGAAAGATAAAGTGGGACCACAATGCGTTAACACGCACCCGAACGATGGTTTACCATCAATTCGTTCAGTAACTGGTAGACCTGAAACCTCTGGGATTGTGATCGAGACTGAAGATCCTGAAAACGTTCAAAGATGCTAGGTAATATAAGTCAACTTGTTTCCCAATTTTGTCCCTATCTTCGACGGCTCGTAGTTATCCGCTACCAGCTAACGAAGCCGTCCCCAAACAGATCAAATATATAGCATGTACTCACGCTTGCGCGACCTCCTCCGCTAATGCTTTGTTGAAGCGATCCAACTTCTGAAGTGTATCCAGCCCAGCGACAGCTCCTCCATCTTCGATTCGGTCACAAAAGAAGGTAGTTAACACTTGAATTTGTTGTCTCGAAAGGAACCTCGGCGGGAGTGATTTAATCACAGAAGTGAGATAGGAAACTGCTTTGCCTCGCAAGATCGGATCCTCATCGTTGATATATTCCCCCAAAGACTGAACGACTTCGATAAGCGTCGTTTTCTTGGTCTCCACATCTTCCAGCAACAGTTAGAACTTCTCCTTGATAATGATCCATCGAGCGGCTTTACCTTGAGCAATTCGTTCAGCAATCTGCTTAGCCTCCTCCTTGTCATGGTCCACGACCAGCAGGAATGTCTGCAACGCCGACATCTTCGCAAGCGTCAAAATGAGGGGTATATGGCTCGATCCCCTCCTCCGCGACCGGAACATGACGCTTTTTGTGGCTGCCGATTGCCCTTATCGATATCAATCACGTGAACTAAATTTCTCCGCAATATCACGTGTGAATAAGTGACAGAATAGGAAGGGACTTACAGTTGCGTCATGGGTCACTGGTTAGTTGGTCGGCATGAACGACCGGATTGATACCTAAATCACTGCTTGACAAAAATGCGGCACCAAGCTTTTACACCAGTCTTTCTGATCTTTCTGATTATTTGCGCAATATCTATAGCTTCAGGCTTTCCTCTTCGCAAGCGTCTTCCGCGTCCGTTTGTCGATCTACCTCACTTACGGCACGAACAGCGCCTACAGGAGAACGGCGAACTGAAGCAGTGGCTTCAAAATCAGCAACCCATCATGACCCCTAATATTGCTATGCCGCCTGAAACGGGCGCTGGTGGTGGAAGGAGGCAACCTCAGGATACCGGCAGCGATGGCCTTGTGATATCCGATGTTCTTCCTAAAAACCGTGGCATCAATATCTTTGCTTCTCTTACAAGGGATTTTGAGCCCATCGATTCTCGCTTCAATGATGCAACAAAAAATGTAACCGTCCTTGCCCCCCGCAACAGTGCAATCCAAGGACTTCCACGTAAGCCTTGGGAGAATCCGGAGGACTATGCACAGTTCGGAGAGGCGAAGGCCTATGAGGGACAAGAAGGGCAGGACCGAGCAAAAAGCAACCTGAAGCGCTTTGTAGAGGCCCACATAGTACCCAGAAGCCCTTGGAATGAAGGGGATGAAGTAGAGACTCTTGGGGGGGACAAGTTGAGCTGGACAAAAGATGGAGATAAGATCCTTGTACGACCACCGCTTCGTGTGAAGATTTGGTCATAGGTGCTAACATATTCTAGATTCAACCGGGAAATGTTGAGGTTGACAATATTGCAGAAAAAGTTTCAAATGGTGAAGTATGGATTTTGAACGGCGTGATCAATTACTGTTGATTATGCTTTTGCAACTCGTATGTGATGATGTGACGAATAGATATACAGAAATGCTCTAACAAATCGTTGTCATAATTTGAGCCAAGAAACGGCGTACAGCTGTTTTTATAATAGGGTGTATACCGCTGTAAAGTTATCTGGAAAATCATTCCATAACTGCTCACATTAAGCAGTAGAGCCTTAAGCGGATATCCAGAAAGGCTCGTAAGATAAATCAGCTACCTCATTCATCAATTCTGTATATCACTGTTCTTTGAATACACCCGTATTTAATAAAAGATAAGAAAAGAGGGCCTGTACTAATATAGGAAATCAAACGAGGCCCTCCTTTGAAGCAATATTGTGCAGTATTCTGTCCTCAATGCCATCCAAAATGCAAAAATGTTCCATGACTGCCAAATTCTCTGCTTCACTTTGATACAATTTATCGGGATCTTGGCCAGGCTGGAAGGGATTGGCCCCCATGGCAGGGTTCATACTAGCCATTTGTTGGGACATATGATTCGCAGCTACATAAAGGTTAGCACAAAGACGAGTACCCGGAAAACAAAATACAATGACTAACCGTTGTCGCTACCCAGAATGAATCCAAATACAGATTGAAGGCCAAACAAGTTGAGGAAGTACCATGACAGACTAGATACCCACCTAACGTCCAAGTCCCGAGTCATGACACCAGACTGAAGCATAGACTTGAACCGGATGGTGAGGGGGAACGGCAGTTTAACTGTTACACTAGTAAGTACGGAAGGTGAAGCATGGAACAGTCGGAAAACATACGGATAACAAATCCAGAGAAGAAGGCATTGATCCAACTCATAATAAGAGTCTGCGGGATCATCATCATCATGTTTCCCTTCATCATACCCATCATAGCCTCCATGCCCGCAGGGTCCGTCATCGGGTTTGCTGGGGGCTGACCGCGGCTGGCCGGGTCCTTCAGGAACTCGCCACTTTGGTACGCTGAGACCAGATAGTTCTTGCGCATTTCAAACGCATCTTTCGAGAGAACTGCTGAAGCATTGTTGCGGAGATTGACACCGCGCAGGAGTGACAGACGCTCGCGGGATTCGGCCAGAGTAGACGCAGGCTTTGGGGGGGTGTTCATCAAAACCGTAGCATAGTGACGAAGGATACCTGTCAGTATCTGCATGCAAGAGTCAGTATCGCATGAAACTTTGCACTGATTCATTGGATCGAACGTACCATAACAATAGTAATCGGGAACAGGATCCAATAACTGTGAATTGCCATCGTGTAAGTCTCTTTCTCATTGAATTGAAATCACAGAAACTCACAATAAAGCTGGATCCCGAAGGATTGTCTGCTCGACCCCTTGTAAGGCCATGATGAGCAATACTGAGAGCAATGTAGTGGGTTGTTTTTTAGCTATGCTTAAGGTAAAAAGAGAGCTTCCGACTTGCGGTCCCACGAGATTGGACTGGGGGCGGGTGTTCACTAGCGCCGAATCGCATTAAGTCAGCTCTCCCCGAAAGGGCCAGCTCGCCGCAACTCCTCGTTGGCATCTATGCAACCAAACTGAGCATCCTCAATCTTTTCCACAAAACTCCTAAAATACTCTCTAATTCCTTGAAGAAATTTGACATTACAATTCCTTACTTAAAAACTTATACTACAAATGGCGTCAACAGAGGTACATAAAGTGCCCGTTTATTCTGTCAATGGTTAGTAGTAGATGTACACAAAAGAATTACACCACTCGATGCCTACCTACAATTTATGAGTTTTCTACTGTGACTTGGGGAAATTAACAGTTACTAATGATGATTTTTAGATCTCAAATCAACAACAGATGATGCGCTAGCACCGCATTTAACTACCCTACCCCAGCCCTACGCCTTTACTCAAGATCACACGAAGACCAACGTCCGCTTCTTACTAGGCTATTCTGCCGTCGCCATTGCGGCATTCACATTCTATGCCGATCGCAAGCTAGGATGGGAGGCAACACAGTCAACATGGGTCATAGCGGCCGTGGTTTCGTACTTTATTTTGAATACCTTGTTCACATACTGGATCTGGGCCGTGGAGGCCGGTGAGGTATTTCGTGGAAAGCGCAAGTCTGGTGAAACGGTAGGCTATGTCGCGAGGGATGCACCAATCAAATGTGCTAAGCTAATTATTTATTTGGTCAGATTACCATTCGTTCCTCCGCGAAGAAACACTCCCCATTATATAAACTCCGTGTGCAGTATACATCGTCTGCGAACAAGGTCCTCGAGGAGAAAGAAATTGAGACGTCTTTCACAACCTGGTTTTCGGCAGATGGAACTTTTCACCCTGAACCTCTTAAGAAGTGGCTAGCAAGCGAGATCCAGGTCCTGCGACTTGCGGCAAAGGAGAAATGAGAGGTCAGTAAGGGCACCTGGAGAAGGTAATAAGCGCGTCGGGCTCTTTATTATGAAATAAGGCAATTAGACGTTCAAGTTGAGAGTATTCCAGCATACCTCTATTGCTGCAGATGTGGCTTGGTTGCTCTTTACTGTTTCTGTAGTGTGTACGAGGACTTTATGCATGATGTATTCAGCGAACGACCAGCATTCGTCATTCTTATTTCTGTGGTTGTTTAAATCTGCCCGAGACTATCCCAAGATTTCCAACAAGTAGACAAGCAGAGGATACTGGTTAATTTTATGGCCAGAGTCCATTTTGTCGGCTTGACGGCCGCGCACAACCCAACTTCTAAAAAAAAGATATATATAGTAATTCGTCTAAAGAAAGGATGGTAAAAACGATAATAAGCATAAAAGCCTTATAACCCGAACGGATGCTGAGTGATATGATATCATCTCCCGGCCCAATTGTTTGAACAAGCATCATTGGTTATTAGGTGGCAGCTTCCAGAGTGCCTGGGCGCTCGGTGGCTTCAGCAGGCTTCACGTCATCCAATCTCCGATTCTGGATAAGTCTCTGTGGCAAATAGTCAGCTCGATGATGCTATGGACGAATACATGAAGCACATCACTCACCAGTAGGTTTCTGAGCAGAACGGCGATTGTCACCTTTCCAGTGGAAGGCATAAAAATAGAGGCTTTCTCCTTAACCTCCGGTCCGAAGTTCTTAGGTAGTGGTATTAGTCACTACACCATAGGTAGATATGTTTAGGATGACTACTTACCTTCTCACTCGAGAAGTTGAGACACACTGCACCCTCTCTGAGAAGGCTGGTATCAAACTTGTATTTGTCCCCAGGGACACCGGAAATGACGACATCACACAAAGGCACCACATCCTTCAATGTCTTGCCTTCCAAGTCGTGGACCTCGTGTCTCCGCTTTTTGATACCTTCACCTCTAGTGAACTTTTGGATACCAGTCACATCCACACTGTAGACGCAGGCTCCATCGTTTGCCAGCAACGCCGCCAGCGGCCGACCGACAACCTCCGACCGGTTCACTACACAGATAGTGTGTCCGAAAAGACGGTTGCCATAGGGCAAAATCGTATTGTAGACTTTGAGGTATTCCAGGATCTTGATAATGGCGAGCGGTGTGCAAGGGAGTATACATTTCTGTCGCTTGGTCTCTGGGTCGAGGAATCGGATGTTCTGGTACATGTTGAAGATGTAGCGATGGCTTAGACCCTCTACATCCTTGGATACATCGACAAGCTGCTGCAAATACTGGTCTTGCCGGTTGTTGAAAATGGGGTAGTATACAATGATGCCGTCAACGTCAGAGTCGACATTGGCAGCTAGGATAGCCTCCTCGAGGTCTTCGCGGTCGACCTGACGGAGAGAATAGCGGAAGCCACTGTATATTGTAGGAAAAGAGGACTACATTAGCTACGAAGCGTGACTCCAACATGTTGCCTCCAAGGGCTCCGAAATCGCAGATTGCTTGAAAAACACAATCCCGAAAAGGAGTAAGTACGAAAGAATGCTCACTTTTCTTCGCAGGTCTTTTCAGTCCATTGGGCATACATGAGTGCCGCAGGATCATTGTTGGCCAAGAATCCCACCAGGTGAGGGGGCCTCTCCAGCGTCTTCACTCCTTCCTGAACCTCAGAAAGGAGGCTAGAAACGACATTCTTAGAGAGCACAACCTTACAGGTGGCCGGCGCTGCATCGCGAGAGGTAGCCATTTGTGCAACAATGGAATTGGCTATTGAACAGATCGAGAATATTGTCAAAACTATGCGTCAAGTGGACTTTTGCGGAGGGGTATGGAGAAATTTTTTGGACGGAAAAGACTGCTCGCTTATCGATAAAGAAGGCCGCTTTCGGCCCACTGAGTCACCATGGATGGAGAGGTAGATGTAACTTAGACAGCCCCTCCTAGTCATGTACGAGCCTAAATCAATTTGGCATTTAGTAGCTGCGGATCAGCAGAAATTCGACGTAGGGCATCATGCATGTTAGTCAAATATTGCTATTGTACCGTGCGCACATGGGTCCACGGTACTCGCTCCTATACGTGGCATATCCCGGTAGAGGTTAGCAAGGCGATACCTAAGTGGGGAGTAAACATTAGGAAACACCCCCTATGGAATAGGTACCTAGGTTCGACTGAAAGGAAGAGACGGAACTCAGATGCCACTTCAATATACAGCCTTGGACCATTTCACAACTGCTCACGCAGAACTCTACAAACTAGCAATCTTGCCAGAGACAATAGACAAACAAAGGAAATCATATTCAGGCTGCATACATGGATGGGAACATGGATTGAAAGAGAATATCAATGATGCGCCAAAGGGTATGAGACGCATGCAGTCGATCTTTCGTATCTCGTTCCCCAGGTGCGCGAAAGGATCTAAACGTACAGGATATTAATTCGTAGCTTTGAGTTTTTTACCCCCACAATTATTCTGTCCCCGTCGTAGCTACTTATAGGCCAGGCTGTTACACATGAAGGACTCCCATGATACACCCTCACTGTTTCTCGACCAACCCGAGGCTTCGGTGGAAAGGAAAAGAAAACTGTGGTCTCAAATTGTACAAGCTAATCTTGTCTATACACATAGAGTCAGGAAAAAAACAATACACGATTGGCTAATCACCCAGTTGCCTTTTGCTCACCTATGCGTTGAAAGACTTGTTAAAGCTCTGGATGACCTCCTTAAGGGAAGCCTCGGTCTCCTTGCTGACCTGGCCCTCCTTCTCGATGGCCTCCTGGATCTCAGGGTTGTTGCTCTTGAGGTGAGCAAGGAAGTCAGACTCCCACTGGAGGATCTTGGCGACGGGGATGTTGTCGAGGTGACCGTTGACACCAGCGAAGATCAGAGGGACCATGTCGGAAACGGACATGGGGGAGTACTGCTTCTGCTTGAGCAGCTCAGTGAGACGCTCACCACGGTTGAGAGTCTGCTTGGTGGCGGCATCAAGATCGGAACCGAACTGAGCGAAGGCAGCAACCTCACGGTACTGGGCCAAGAACAGCTTCAGAGAACCAGCGACCTGCTTCATGGCCTTGACCTGGGCAGCAGAGCCGACACGGGAGACGGAAAGACCGACGTTAATGGCAGGACGGATACCCTTGTAGAAAAGTTCGGACTCCAAGAAGATCTGGCCGTCGGTAATGGAAATGACGTTGGTAGGGATATAAGCAGAGACATCACCACCCTGGGTCTCAATGACGGGCAGAGCGGTGAGGGAACCACCACCGTGGGTGTCGTTCATCTTGGCGGCACGCTCAAGGAGACGAGAGTGGAGGTAGAAAACGTCACCAGGGTAGGCCTCACGACCGGGGGGACGACGGAGGAGCAGAGACATCTGACGGTAGGCAACGGCCTGCTTGGAAAGGTCATCGTAGATGATGACGGCGTGGCGGCCGTTGTCACGGAACCACTCACCCATGGCACAACCAGTGAAGGGAGCAAGGTACTGCAGAGGAGCAGCCTCGGAAGCAGTAGCAGCAACGACAATGGAGTACTTCATGGCGTCGTTCTCCTCAAGGGTCTTGACGAGCTGAGCAACGGTGGAACGCTTCTGACCGACGGCAACGTAGATACAGTAGAGCTTCTTGCTCTCGTCGGAAGAGCTGTTCCAGCGCTTCTGGTTCAGCATGGCATCAAGGGCGACAGCGGTCTTACCGGTCTGACGGTCACCAATGATCAACTCACGCTGACCACGGCCGATAGGAACCATGGAGTCGACACACTTCATACCCGTCTGGACGGGCTGGTTGACGGAACGACGGGGCAGGATACCAGGGGCCTTGAGCTGAGCACGGCTCTTGGCCTTGGTGTTGAGGGGGCCCTTGCCGTCAATGGGGTTACCAAGAGCGTCAACGACACGGCCGAGAAGCTCAGGACCGACGGGGACATCAACCTGTTGAGTACTGTAAGTATATTTTCCACCCTTGAACCTTTCAACAATAAAAGACTACTCACAATCTCTCCAGTACGCTTGACGGTCTCACCCTCCTTGACGAGACGGTCGGAACCGAAAAGCACAACACCGACCTGGCCGGCTTCCAGGTTCATGCACATACCCTTAACGCCAGAGGCGAACCTGATCATCATTAGTCAATTTTAAGTCCAAACCTGAATATCAAATCTACTTACTCGACCAGCTCCTCAGCCTGGACATTGGTCATGCCGTGAACACGAGCGATACCGTCACTGTTGGATAAATCGAATCAGTTATTTGTATTCTAGATATTCGTGCTGTTGATTATATCGAGGTTTTCGATGATTTTCGATGGGTTTGTTGCTGAATCCAGAATTTTCAATCGAGACTAATTGACCACATACCCGACGGAAAGGACACGCCCAGTCTCGGCAAGACCAGCCTCCTCCTGAACACCGCGGATTCTCTGCTCAAGGATAGAAGAGACCTCGGTGGGAGAAGCCTTGGCCTCAGCGGCGTAGGTACGGACCTGCTTAGCAGCACCAGAGACGGGGCCGGGAGCAGCCGCGCGGACCTAAAGGGAGAAGCAAAATTTGTTAACATCAGAACACGTCGATCACAACGCGTCAAAACAGGATAAAATATATTGCGATCCAAGGCCATGTGCTTGACAGTCACTTTGAGATGACTTTCGAGATGGCATAGGCGAAATTGAAGCGACGTCGTCGATGCAGGTAGGGATAGGACTCACCGCAGCGATCCTGCCAGTAGCAGTGGCAGCCGCAACGATGCGGCTAGACTGCCGCAAAGCGTTTCTGAACATTGTGAATGGGGTTCAGAGGAGTGGGAGAGTGGTTTCTCTGAAAGAGAGATGTAATTGGGGGGAGGTGGAAGAGGAGAGAGGATTGTGGATGGATGGAAGGAGAGCTTTGTCGTCGGGGTTGGGAGGATTCTCAGGACTGCCACTAAACCCAGTTTGCCGAGCCTCAGCAACCTCCGAAGCCGCCCTAGTGCGTTCACGGGACACCCACCCGCCCCAAGAAAACATCGCTACTTTGACGTATTGATCTTACGCCCGTAGAGTAGGAACCATTCGATATAAAATTATTATTATTGTTTTACTTTAATTCTGAGGGTCTATATGATTAGTCTTCCGTTCTCACCTCTTTCCCCCAAGTTGTTGGCGTTGGTGAATGATTTTGGCGGTTTTCCGGGTACCCGACACTTTCCTGCGGGCCACCTGGCCATCTCAATTTTCGCTGGTATTTTTCTCGGATCTGCGGATAACTGAGTCCAGCTTACTCATTCCCGCTCATTTTCGTCACAGCAACCGCCTGCACGACGACCCTGCCAACAACATAGGATCCGCCATTAACTACTATTCTAGGAAATAGTTGGATCTCTCTGATATCTGGAGGATCCAATTTTCACGGACCTTTCATGTCCTTCTTTAAACCAGTAATTTTCCTTTCCTCTCCCTTCCCCAAACAATCTGTACACCGCTTCAAAACATTCACCGGCTCGAGCTTCCCGTACCAATGTCTGCACCACCTGTAACCTGAACCAACATAACCGCTAAATTTGGAAGACGTTTTGCTGCGCTATGCCAAAGTAACAATATTAGACAGCCTGTCCTATGAGGCAATCTCTAGTCAATCTGCAAAAATTCCAGTCCCACCGCAGCGACCGGCTGTAACCAATTTCAGTTAATATCAATGCTTATCTCGAAGACAGCTATTATTACCCAGCTACTTATTAGAACCTCGAGCTTCGTAGTTCTCTCGAAATCCAGCGTGACTAATTTAATTGCCACCCTTGTTCTTCTTCTCCTTGAAGGCAGCAATCTCCTTCTGAACACTCTGGTCGTATCTCGCCTTCAGTTCTGGGCGATAGCCGAAGAAGAAGAGGATTTCCATCCAAACGAAAAGTGGAGCGAGGAGGAGTGCCTGGACCAAGTTGTCCAGTAAAGCTGGTGCCCTACGTTCGAATGCACCGTGACCGACGAACTGGAGCAACCAGGACACAACATGAATCCCACCAAACCAGTAGTTCATATCCGTGCCATGAGTGGTCAGCAGATGGTTTGCGAACGCTGCGCCACCAATAATAATCGGTGCGATCAGGGCCCCAGCAACTGGTTCCAGTAGAATATAGAATGTTGAATATATTAACGCTCCAATAGTACCGAGGTTGGGGGGCAAGTGTTCGACACTAAGGACATCAGGAAGGTTGAAGAGGGCTGGAGAATTTGACGCCTGAACCACCACATATGGTAAGCATTATGATTTGCCGGAAGTAAGGGGAAGGAGGCATACCAGGGCAATTCCAGTAAACAGAAGTATCGGCACACATGTAATATGAATTGCGACGTTTACCTGGGAAACGATGAGCGATCAGGGTCGCATATGGGGTAGAAACAAAGGGCAAAGTACTGGGTTGTTATGGTAGGCACCATACTGAGAACGTAAGCTGTGGTCCAATCATCAAGCATATAATAATGCATCATGTGCAGATAAGAGCACTCACGAAAAGGAGCTGCTTCTCCAGGTTCAGAGCCATATTGGTAAATCAGACCTGATGGTTTGTCGTCTCCAAGAAAGGAAATTGTCGATGCTTGAAGGTAACCATGCAGGAGACCCTTTTTCTGCCAGTTAGACTGGATAAGGATTATGCCTGATCAGGCCAGCCAAGAGGTGGAGAATCAGACATTGTCCAATGCGCTACTCGTAGTAAGTCTCCTAAAAGTATTCCTAGACAGACGTCATGTGCTGGGGAGTCGAATGCCGAGGATACGAGGACCGTTACAATGTATTGTCATGCCATTGTCACTTTATGCAGTAGGGTCTGTGGCAGTTGTGCCCGGTGTATGGTATTAGTGTATTATTGATGTTTGAGGGACCTGGCCAGATCAGGTGACTGCACGCAGCTGATGCTAGAGTCGGCCACGGGCTCAATGTCATGATTGCTTGACTGGAGATTCTTCATAATCAGCGCTCACGCCCGCCTTCCTCTAGGTAGATTTTGTTGTCTTTATTCTTTCAGCCTTCTCCATACTCTAGACTCGCACTCTTTCGTCGACTATCTCGGTCGGGGGCAAGGTTTCCATTGCTATTGTTGTCATGAGCTGCTGATATTCTGTCATTGACCTTTGATCGCAAGCTTTGACAACCTTTTAACTGAATCGCTGTCGCGCTCGCTACGGCTTTCCTTCGCCTGCCTGCTTCAGATTCTTGTGACGATTTTCTTACGAACACCCGATCTACCTTGAGGAGCACCTATCCTACCCCACCCGCCAATTATTGAATCGAACATATTGGGACAAGCTTATTGACCTGGTACTTGTTTTTATTGCCAGCTCTTTCCTTTCTTCGTTTCTCGCGTGGGTTTGAGTTTCTGCGCCATGTTTTTCCTCAAGGAAGAGACCAAGGTCATCACGTTGCACCCGTCCTATTTTGGGCCTAATGTGCGAGAGTACCTCATAAACCGGCTGAACGAGGAGGAGGAAGGACGGTGTACGGGAGATCACTTCGTGATTTGTGTGATGGACATGGTAGATATTGGAGAAGGTCGGGTTCTACCTAGCAGCGGGCAAGCCGAGTACACAATTAAATACCGAGCTATTATCTGGAAGCCGTTCCGTGGAGAGACCGTATGTCGTGGAGAGCGCGAGTACCCAATTCTTGCTCTCAATTCTAACAGTGCACTCGTAGGTCGATGCCATCGTTACGTCTGTTAAGCCCACCGGAATTTTCACATTAGCGGGCCCATTGTCAGTCTTCATTGCGCGCAAAGTGAGTTTATCAATAGGGTCTGGAAACAATATGTATGGGGACTAACTGTTTGGCAAGAACATTCCTTCCGACATCAAGTGGGAACCAAATACAGTGCCTCCTCAATACACAGATCACGCGGACCAGGTCATTGAAAAGGGGACAAGTCTGCGGCTCAAAATCCTTGGTGTCAAACCAGATGTCGCAGCAATCAATGCCATTGGAACCATTAAAGAAGACTACTTAGGGTATGTGGCTTTCAACCCTCATTTTTCCATTCGTTTTCTGTTCAGAGGATCACTAATACGCATTTGTCTATTGTAGACCACTGTAAAGAAAAGGTCGACGAGAAGATACCTTTATCGCATTTAATGATTATACCAATACTTCCGCCAGCAAGCGCTTGAGAAGATTCTGTTGCTTTTTTTACCATCTTACAAGAATATTGCGGGAAAGGGGCAAGTGTCCCGAGGGAGGTACAATCATAGCTTGATTAAAAGACACCCAGTCAGTGTCTCCAGCTTGTTATATGTTCGTTCTCAGATGAGAAGACAATCTCACGGCCCGCAACGATGAAGAGCGCTGCTGGTCAGCAGACACAAAACCAGGCGGTGCAGCCTGGCTGGCGAGCTGAAATAGAGTACGGGGGCGATACGGACCTCCGTAGATATGCTGTCATGGGTGGTGTGTGCCAGTCTCGGACAAAACATGCGAGGCGTCAGTAGCATGTAAGTATATGGAAAAGCAAGAAGACAGATTTATGTGAAGTGTACTTTACTGCCCTCGAGGCATCTCTTAATCACAAGTAAACATCATTACATACGGGACTCGAACAGGGTCGGCCAAGTGTTTGTATTGGCTGTGGTGCGCGCAATGTTGTAGTATAGAGACGAGATGGGCACGGCATCTGTTCGTTCGAGGTCGAAATGGATGCATCCGTGGACTCTCGCTTTAGTTGACCGGATTCGTTACGTTCAGATCGATAGTACCTGGGCAGTGTCAACGATTTAATATTCAAATACAATATAGTAGTAGGGCAAACTTTAGCATGGGCTTATTAGTTTATGGACTTTTATTTGCCATAGACTCTTTTATACCCGAGGAAGAATATATATACACGAGTGGATTGGACCTCGGAGTACCTGCAAATGGTCATTTCACACAATACAAATTTCAACAATGAGTACAGACGTCTTCATCGTAAGCTGTATAGAATGTTCCTCTTTTGAATCTGTAGCCCTTAGGTATATTACCAGTGCGGTTGTGTTTCACCCTGTACCACTGAGGTATACGTTTCGGTACTCCGTATGGGATGTATCATTGAGTTACGTACCAGAGAGACACCGCCGAGGGTTTCCTCTATACCCGATTTGAAGATGGTGAAACACTGGTGCGTCTTCCGTGCGTTTAATTTCCCCGAGTCAAAACAACTTCTTGTTTATTACGATTGTCCTGTCTAAGCTGGACCTCGAGGAAGGGCATCCACTTGCAGGAGGAGTGAATGTCATTGGGGAGGCAGAGAGGCGGTCCTGGAAATCCAAAGCCTCGAATGTTGCATTCAGAAGGGAAAAGAACCCGTGAATGAGAGTGAATACGTACTGTACATCCATTGAGATTGAGAATCTAATAATAACTACTTGGTAAATAATGAAAAAGCCACCTTCAGGCCTCCTGAAATAAAAATCCACTTATTTCCACCACTCCAACCTACATTCCGAAATTAACCAAATTCCCCGGTTATTGCGATTCTTTGTTTCCATTCCTTGTTGTTATTGTTGTGAGCCACAGGCAGCAAGTGTGGTTCGCGATCCCCTTCCTTTGCGACAACCGACAAACCCCCCCCCAGGAACCGCCATTCTTTCTCCAATTGGATCCCTCCCTTGGCTCTCCTCATTCTCTGCTGGTTACCTTATCACTGACGTTCGTTTGATCTTCTGAATCCAAATCATAGCGACCATGTCTCTCCAAGACGTGTACCAGAGATTCCTTTCTGACCCCAGGTCTGCTTCCCTGGCTTCCGATGTTGCGCTGATCTATATCACCACGACTACCAGGGTCGATGGCGCCGAGGCCGTGGTCAAGCACCTCGCCAGACAGGATCATGTCCTCAAAAGAAAGTCCCAGCAGGTGATTGATACAGTCGAGGGCTTGAACTCCCTGTCTCTAGACGTGGACACCACGGTGGAATTTGTCTCTGGTGGCGGACCGTATCTCCCCGCGCTGGACGATAACTTTCTGTCCGACCGCATTGCGACCTTCCCCACGGTATGTCCTCCACTGTTACTCTGTCGCAGTCTGATGATCTGGGGACTTGTCATCTAATTGGTTGATTTTGTTATTGCCAGGTTCACATCGTTCGTTTCAACTCCCAGAACCAGATCCAGCAGGTCAAAGTCTATTGGGATCAAGCGTCGCTTTTGAAGCAGGTCGAGGTGATCGGCTCGCGCAGTCGCGGTTGGCCCATTCGCGATGCGAAAGATCAGGCTAAATTGATCAAGACCGCCGCTTCCTCTGCCCCGGTGAATGATGCCCCAGCGCCCGTGCCCGCAAACAAGCCCGAAGAAAATGGTGACGCACACAACAAAGTCGTCTCTCCTAAGAGACGCATCAAGGACCCCTATGCGGCAGAATCTCTGGAGGAACTTCTCTCTCCCGGCAAGGACCGAGCGGAACCCGTGCGTGCCCCTCGTGCCCCGGCATCCGCTAAGCCTCCCCAGCGCGATCTGACTGAGATCTTTGGAAATCACGATGACGTCGACATTCCTGAGGCATCCCCTTCCAGAGCCACGCCAGTCGCTCCCAAAGTCGGTGCGGGCAAGAACTACCGGGCTTCGCGCATCTTTGACGATGACGAGACAGTCGCTACCCAAGACAAGCCCCAGCAGATCGCTTACAAGGCTCACCCTAAGCGCTTCGATCATTTTGAGCTGGGCGCGGACAACAGTGAGCGTGAGATCAAACCCAAGGTCTCGCGCCCAGTGTCGAGCCAGGGCAAGGGACCTCAGTGGAAATTCGAGGACTTCATGACCCCCGAGAAGCCTAAACGCCAGCTCCGGGGCCAAGAGCTTCGTAGTTTCGGTATCAGCGACGAGGAGCCAGAGACACCCCCAGCCAAACCTCACGTCCAACCCCGCCGCGACGCGGAAACCCACTTCCAGTTGACAGGTGATGTCGGCGATCAGGGTTCAGGCCGGATCATCAGTTCGTTCCAGAACAAGGGTCTCAGCCTTTATAAGAACCATCTGTTCGCCGATGAAGACGAGCCCGCCGAGAGCAAGCCGTCGTCCAAGGATAAGCTGCCCCTGTCCGTAGCCCAGAAAGGCCCATCCCGCAATAAGGACCTCGAGACTCACTGGACCATCACAGATGAATCGCCAGCGAAAAGCAAGGCCGACGAGAACAAGAAGCCCATCGCGGCGGACCGACAGCGGGCCGTCAAAAGTTTGGAGCCGTCATGGGAATCCTATGATCAATCTCCTCAGCCGAGCAAGACCGTTCGTCCTCCTCCACAGCGCCGCCAACTGCGAAGTGTCAACGAGAGAAGCTGGAGCCTTGGCCATAATGAGTGAAGCGATTAACAAGAAACTGGTCTTCAGTACCGTGCAGCCCCCCGAACTCCGAACCCCTTGACGACAGTACCGAATGATCCTATTGAGCAGACCATATTCACCACAGTTCGAGCCGTCATCATGGCGACAGCCTTGCCCAATGCGACTTGTACCCATGGAAGACTTTTCTACTTCTAAATTGTGTATTTTGTTTGAACAATACTTGTATTCATTTCTTGTATCTTTCTTACCAACCTTCTTACCACATTTTCTGTTGTGTCCGGTTTAGCTAGTTTGATATGTTACCCAGTATGACAATCTGGATTGTGTACGAGTCATAAAGATATATTCGATAATGAGACGTTAACGCTATCAATCTGATTACACGCTCATATATTCAACAAAATAATAACATGTCATATGGATGAAAGCCCGAAACAAAGATATCCAGATCATGTGGTTTTAACATCGCTTCCAACATCATTCCAACTGCTCACAATAGTAGATGGTCATTATATTGCAGTTTATCCAACCACACCGAACTATATATAGAACATGGTGTCCTGAACACGAGGATGGATTTGCACATCCGCATTTCCTACCTTAAGGCCCGGCCCACTACCCGTGGCCACGCTTCCAGCGGGAGAAGGTTCAAAAGCACTGCTGAGGTAGCAACGCGCCCGAGTACAGACCAGATCCGCATAGTACGCCGGCGGACAGATGCTGACAGCCTTGGTAGCTCTACCGAAGAGATAGCACATATGATGTGTTAGAGCCTCTAGAATATCCGCGGAGTTCTGGTACGGGGGACTAGGTCGCTGTCGGCAGAAGATCTCATCCCAGACCGTGAAGTAGTGGGCGGGACGAGCGGTGCCCTTTAGCGCCGCGTGAGCCTGGAGATAGAAGTCCCAGTTGCGGGCCTCGGTGATGCCGCGGTCGACGATGGTGCCGTTGCTGGGGTTGCTCGAGCGGTCTGCGTCTCCTTCCTTGGTTGGGTAGAAGCGGGTGTTGTGGCGTTTGCCGACGATGGCAATGGAGATGTGCGGGAGACCTTGCTTTGTTGCGGTGGCTGGGTAGGTCTCTTTGCAGGCATTCTTGAGGAGCGGGAGCTCCTTTTGGACGACTAGTTCGTACTGGCCTTCTGATACGCCGTCTCTGTACACGATGATGTTGTCTGGGTAAGCGTTTTTGTGGGAGCGGGCCCAGCGCTTGAGGTGGGCTTTCAGCATGTCGCTCAGGTCTTGGATCATTTCCTCGCGCGATCTCTGTACTCTGATTTCTGCGGGCCATTGGCTTAGACTTGTGTCGACGGAGGCGACCATGCCTGCGACGCTGGGGGCGTTCGCGGATGATCCGGGGGATGGGTGAGTGACGTCCATGCCGACGAGCATTGTTTTGCCTTGTCCGATGAGGCCTAGTTCTTTTGGATCCAGAATTTGGTTGGCGCCGCCTAGCTTCAGGTTGACCTTTAGTCCGACGTTCGCGAAGTACTGGGGATTTGCCCCTCGGAATTTTTCAGCTAGGACGTTGATGTTCCGCACGCCGTACGTCAAGTCGCATGCTCTCTTGATGCAGTTGTAATAATCCGCATCGCTGAATGGCAGGACCGAGAGGATCAAGGTGGGCTTCTTGTTCATGAGTCGCCCAACTGCTGCCGTGATTTCAGACTCAAAATTGTTTTTGTTAACAGTTATGGTTTCACCTTCCATGGCTCGCTGTGCTGCAACGCCCATCTCGTTCAGATTGGCTGTGAATCCTTTCAGGGCGTTGTCGAGGTCCTCCTGGCGAGTGAAGGGCGGCTTGGGCCCATCGACGTTTACCACGAGCCAAGTCCAGGCTGAGAGGTTGGTCGACGTTGAAAACCTGATAGATCTCATGTTCCAGCTGCCAAACTGCGGCTTCACTGACACGGTTTTTTGCGACTGCCCTGACGCATCCTTGTAGTAGACATTCGGTGCTGGGAGCACCCGACCTGGGACAGTAATGAGGCTACAGTCTGGCTGTATGCCGAAGTTCTCCTACTCAGATCAATTAGTAGCTGTATTGGGCGGTAAGCTAAGTATCACTCGAAGCACTTACAAGAGTAGGACTCTGGGGAGAGAGACCAAGCATCCGAGTACCTGTCGTGACTATAGATGCAGCATTCTCCGGGGGAGGGCGAACGGCAAAGTTCAGCATGTTTCTAGTCTGGTGTGGGGAGAGCTTTGCTTTTGCAGGCTGACCCGGCTCAACCTCACAGACTTCGACAGGCAAGTAGCTTGGATTCTCTGTTGTTCCAACATTGATCACAGGCATGTTAGGATCTGTCATTGTACCGTAATCTGCAGTCTGTTAGCCCTAAGCCCTTAGCACACCAGCAGTGAGCACCTACTCTGGCGAAAGAAGTCGGCCACGCTGATGTACCCGCCGGCCTGTGCAGGGCCTGCCTTCGCAGATTTCTTGCCCTTCTTGCCTTTGGCGCCGCTAGATGCGCTCTGGGAGGGCTGCTGGCCAGGAGCTTCTAGGAAGAACTCTACTTCCTTTGGTCCTGCACCGTGTCTGGCTACCCTCGGGGGGGTTCGTCTGCGACACACCATCATTGGTGGTCGCTAGACCGGCGATTGTTTTTATTCTTGGAACGATCTCTCCTCGTTTGTTCTTTCTCTTAATATGTGTTACTTTGACTTTCAACTTCACCAAAAACCTCCTAAGGCTGTTGATGTCACGGTATCCGCGTTGATACTCTTTTATCACATGGCTCAGCGGTCCTTCCTGGTAACAGGCGATGTACTTTACTTGAACGTTGAGCAAAAGGCGAGCAGTAGCTGCACGAACACTAATAAAAAATCCCCGAAGGGCTTCAAGCCCAGCACCGAGGTCCCATTTCTCGCACAAGTCCCCACGTATGGCATAATGCTTGTTCGCACCAACGGAAGCAATCCAATCCTGTATTTTCGGGTGGTTTCCTAGGATGATATTCATCGCTTGGAGCACTTCCGCCTTAGAGCCAAATTGGTCATCAGGATTGGTCGAGGTTAAGTAAGCTAGAAGCTCAGCAGGGTTGAGTCTTCCTGTGAACTGGCACGTAACTCGGTAGACCTTTGCATTCTCAGGATACTCGTCATCATGCTCGCCGCGATAACGAACATCGTACTGATACGTCTCCTCATTATGGAGGATCTTGTGGTTGGTGATCAAAGTAGATTTGTAATCTGTAACAATATTCTTACCCAACTCGGGGAAATTCTGCTCAATCAGGAGTTTAATGATCTGCTGGGCTTTCTTGCCTGTTGGGGACTTCCTGGTCGCTGAATCGGGCGAGATCTCAACACGGTAGCGGAATAGTTGCGCGCTAGACGACTTCAAGTCAAGATAATTGGCATACAGCGTCACTGGCCGACCCCGAGTACCATAACCGGGTCGCTGAGGGTACTCGGTTGGCGTGGTTTTCTTCACTGCTAGAGCTGTGGCCAAGGTATCCTCAGTCTTCGTAACCTGAGGACTTGGAGGAGGCACCTGTCCTCCGGGACTCCTATAAAAAAGAGCTACTGTTAGTATGCATTTCTGCTGAAACGATGAGGATGAATACTTGAACAAGTACTTACGTGTATACCCTGGGGCCTTGGCCACGACCCCCTCTAAACGAACCTCGTCCTCTATCTCCTCCCCCCCGTCCCCGATCTGCTCCACGTCCTCGATCTCCACCACGTCCCCGATCTGCTCCACGACCACGACCTCTAAAATCCCCCCCAGGCGGACCCTGACGGATGGGTAGCTCTGTGGTGGATCCGCGACCACCACGGCTGGCACCTCTGTCACCTTGTCCTCTACTACCACGATCGCCTCCTCTGCCCCGCCCCCGTTGGGTATTCCCTCTTTGGGAGGACATTATCTCTTGACGTCGACGAGGGAGGTGCTCAGAAACGGACGGGTCTCATCCACGTTAAAATGAAAATAAGGTACGTAGCTGTTAGCGGGTCGGTTAGAGCAAGTGATATTGGGGATTAAAGTTGGTGGATGAGCGCCCTTGGGGGGGTTTTAGTACGTCTAATGCCCCCACATCGAGCTGCAGCGGCGGTAGTAGCTTTGTCCATAATGTGACAACATGTTGTCCATTCACTGAGAAGGCTGTTACCGCTTTGCATGGATGGTACTACTATGTACTAGTGTCATGGCTGCCCATTCGTGGGTGCAGGCCAAGTTCCAATGATAATGAAGTAATCTCCAGGAAAGAGGGGCAATATTGTTTGGGAATGATTGTTGAGTGGTCATTTTGGAACGTTGTTTGCTCCATTCAGAAGCGCCGAAAAGGAGCTGTATATCCATTACATCACCAGAAAGGGTCGGGTATTTTCCAGCAGTATTCCGTACCTCTCAGGGCAAATGACGCTTTGTTTGCTCCTCTATAAAGGTCGTTTGTGTTTGAGCTATAATTATGTCTCATTGTACTGTAGTAAATTGGGGGGTTATCGCCGCTGTTTAATATTACAGAACAAAGGTAATTTTGAACTATAATGATTGCTCATCGCCTCTGTGAGTTATTTCGGTATGAAGTACAAAGTACGGAGTAGTATGGACATACATACAGTTACCTGTTGAACCAGTGGCTCCACTTAACAGCTGTACCCAACTGAGCGACCCATCCATTGGAAAAGTATAGAGTCGTGAATTTCTAAAGGAACTAGGCTTACACTAACCTCCATGATGACTCAAACTCATCCGTCTCAGCCACATTCAAACATTCACTGGCAAATAAGATCGTTCTTTGCCCGCCCAAGATCAGCCAACTTCGTAAGTCTAGATTCCGGCGAACATGGTTATGAATTGACAGGCAATGCTTCGTATCAGACCTGCCCAATATTTTACCTCGACTTGTACAGGGCAGTACAATGTCCTACCAGAATCTCAAGAAATGTTCTTGGATAGGCAGAATATACAAATAGGGATTATAAGATAAATTCAAATCAAAGAATGATACTGGAGACGGACGGCCTGTCTTTGTTTTCCCCTTTCGGCCAGTGTCTGCCCCACTGGTATTACATAAGGGTATCATCCAATCATAGCTCACCAATCCGGAAGAGTGTGCAGACCCAACGCGTGACAGGGTGATAACGGAGATAACTCTTGCCTACCATACATATAGTTTCATATGATTCTCTCACTAAGCAAAAGCTTAAGGTATCGACGGGAAGGGAGTTCTTGTGTTAGTATATCTCCCACTTTTCTCTTAAATTTTCGAACGCCTCTGCTAGACACCCAGGGTACCTTGTGCAGACTCCCTCTTGCGACTTTTGCACTCAATCCGAAGGATCCTGATAAGTATCTCCTGCCCGCCCGACGTCTTTGGTCCAACAAGCTTCGCGGCAGGTTGACTAGTCGCCTATAAATTGGCCCCTCTTTCTCGACCATTCTCACCCATTCCTTCTCGGGTTGCGCTCGCGATTTGTGCGAATCCCATATTGCGGCACAGAAACCACCATCTATACCAATATTCAAAAACCGAAAAAACTTGCGCACTTTACGTCAGTGGGCTCTTTGCTGGGTAGAACCGCGACGAGTTCCGTCCAGAATCGCCTCCTGCTTAAATCGCTTTGCGATCTGGGTTGCTAAGGATTCGACCACTGAAACGTGACCGAAGGCATCAGCAAAGCGTCGTGCACCTCAGTTCCCTCCCACAACCGTCCGGTTCAATTGCGCGGGAATTCTAGTGATACCTAATTGACCGTTGGACGTTCGTCCCTCATCTCTGGAGCTACATCATACTCAAGAGGGATATTGGGGGTGAGCTCTCAAGTGGAGGATTCTACTAGTGCGATTGCCATTGACTGACCCAGTGACACTTTGCGCTGGAGGGAGTCCTCAACAACAGGAATTCCAAGTGTCGTTCGCAGCTCTCTCTATCACATTGTGGGCTCTTGCGCCAGCACCGCTTAGGGACGGTGCGTAATCGAAACGACCAACTTCGATCTACGTTTATCATCGTGTCTGGTTTATTGAGAAAGCGCTCATCAACATGTCTCCAACCCCTCCATCCACGACCTCGTCAAACGCTAGCGCATTTTCGCCCGAAGGACAGTACCGGGTTATCCGAAAGAGAAATCGGGTACCACTTTCCTGTGGCCCCTGCCGACATAGGAAGTAAGATTCCTTCCTGCTCTTTAATGTCTTTTCGAGTAACTTCTGACAGTTCGTGACTAAGACTCAAATGTAACCGTGCTCACCCATGTGAGAACTGCGTGAAACGAGGAGATGCTGCCTCGTGTACCTACGCCCAAGCAAGCGCACGTAAGAAGAACGCCCCGCAACGAGTATCGCCCAGCTCCCCAGATGATATGCAGAATAGGATAGACCGACTGGAAAGCTTGGTTTTGTCGTTGATGACAAATGGTTCACAGGCCGCGGGCCCGGCTGCGGCTATGGCAGCACTCTCTGGAAACAGCAGCAGTATTGGTTCTGCCCAACATACAACTGATGTGGATCTGGATGAAGACACGGGTGGCCCTGAGGAGAGCGATACAGAACAAGTAACAAAATCTTTTGGGGTAATGAAGGTCGACAATAATAAGTCATATTATTTCAGTGAAGCGCATTGGGCGTCTGTCCTCAATGATGTAAGTTACTCTCATCTGGTTCAACTTAGATCCTCCGTGTTAATATCGATGATAGATTGCCGAAGTGCGTAATTACTTTACTACGCACAAGAAACAGTACGAGGAGCATGCGGAGAAGTTGAAAGCAACAAAGCTTCCGACGGACGTGCCGGGGTCCACATTGCTCTTCGGTGCTATGAAAACAACTAGTCGTGCGGAGATCATGTCTTCGCTTCCCTCCAAATATACAACAGATATCTTAGTCGCCCGGTATTTTAACAGCTATGACCCCTCAACCAGTAAGTTCACTACCCATGTGCTCTCCATCTCCATGGGGTGATTCTCACGCAGATCTCTAGATATACTACATGGACCTACATTTCAAGCGCAAGTAAGCAATGCCTCTCCTTTAATATGTGTCCATGTTTGGTGCTAACTGCTCATTAGTATAACAAACACTGGGAAGACCCGTCACAAACTTGTATAGTCTGGATTGGTATGCTGTGTGCGATTATGCGACTTGCCATGCTGTCGTATCATCGAGAGGGAGACGAACCGCCGGAGTTTCGAGGAAAGACTCTAGACATGGCAGGCACCTTCCGGAATCTGATGGCGCAGTGTCTGACGCTGGCTGATTATACTAAACCTTATCCGTCTTTGATTGAATCCTTGATATTCCATCTGCATGGAGATTGGATTCAAACAAAAGATGCAGATGTGTCCGTTTGGGTGCTTGTGGGCGTGATTGCTAGGTTGGCTATGAGAATGGGTTACCATCGTGACTCAAAGATGTTTCCCAACATCACGCCTTTCCAAGGTGAAATGCGCCGCCGAGTATGGGCAATCGTGCGGCAGTACGATCTAATATTCTCCTTCCAAGTGGGCCTACCAAGTATGATTCGCTCCACAGATAGTGATACAGAATTTCCACGGAATTTATATGACGATGACTTTGATGAGAACTGCAAGGAGCTCCCTCCTTCACGGCCGCCAAACGAACCCACACCAGTCTCATGCTTGATAGCCAAAGGTCGCTTAACATATGCCTTTGGCCGTGTTATCGAACATACATCTTCTATACAAAGTCCATCTTACGATCAGGTTATGGAGATTGACTCTGAACTTCGCCGAGCGAGAGACTTGGTCCCTGAACATCTTGTTGTTCGCTCTGTAGAAGAGTCCCAGTTGGAGCCCCCGAAAATAGTTATGGCACGATGTGCTGTAGGTTATCCTCAGGCAAAGTATATGTATTTTGAGTTACTGACCGTTTCCAGATAATGAGTGTGTATCACAAAGCTCAGTGTGTTCTCCATCGACGGTATCTCATTCGGGCGCGCGAAAATCCTCGATTTACTTACTCCCGGAGAACATGTATCGATTCTGCCATGGAATTGCTTCGGTTCCAATCGATGCTGCACTCTGAAACCATGACGCGCATCCGGAACAAACATGACAGGCTTACTGCACTCGTCTCTACAGATTTTCTACTTGCTGCAACCATCGTTTCTCTCGACCTCTACCACGGACATCAATTCCAATCAGGAGGCCGCGCGTCCGGCGATACCTACGCCTGGGGAAGAGAGCGACGCGAGGAAATGATAGCGGCAATCCAGCGCTCTAAAGAGATCTGGGATGAACTTCGTGACGATGCCCTGGAGGCGTGGAAAGCGTCAGGAGCTCTCGGAGTGATGCTTGCCAGGCTGAACTTAGGCTACTCTGATACCAATGCCGCCGCGCCTACCTTTGAACCTCAGGATGAGAAGCAAAGTGCCGCCATGACCTTGGGCCTTCTCAGTAGTGGAATGAGTCCCATGAACCCGGCTCCTCCCGCCTTCGGTGATGGCACCATTAAAATGGCCGAGACGCCACTGGCACCACAGGGAGGATTTGGAGCGGCAGCAGACATACCTGGAGCCCCCTCGCCTCTAAGTGCTATGTTTGGACAAATGCCAGATATGCAGCTCCCTCTAGATTGGGTATGGTTGCCTTGTTAATGCAAAATTTCGAAGCTCGACTGACCAATTTTATTAGGACACCTGGGATAACTATATTCAGAATGCAGCGCTTGACGTCTCGAACCAGTGGTGGCCAACGATGGATCCGCAGCAACAGCAGCAACCACAACCACAATCCCAGAATGCGTTAGGATCAGCTGGTTTAGCATCGGTGCAGAATAGTGCTGCAGACAAGATGCGCTCGTTGCCTTCTTTTTCCAACGTCTTTTACCCTGATGCCAATGCTTACGATAACAACAATTCACCGCCGAACAACTCAGGCACACGTTAAGCCAGTCTATGAGATACTATTTTGGAGTTTACCTTTCTTCTTTGTGAGGCCAGGGAAAATTATGTTAATGTGGTCATGAAGTCTTGGTCAGTCCTGGAGTGTAAAACATAACGCTAGCGGGTTCTATTGGTTGCCATTCTTGTTCGCAATGTTCTATGTCTCTATATCAAAAATGTTTCTGGAATAGACAATGAGGGGTCACCGGCGCCAATGTATATATTCGTTATGGAATTTGTAGCTACTATCACGCTCTGCTCCACTCCAAAGTTAGGGATCTAGGACTTCACGAAAGTGTGAGCCCTATAGGAGAGGGGCGCTTTTCCCATTTCACAATTGCAAATGATCTCCCAGGAGTTGCTAGAAACTCTTTAATATACTTCTAATACTCCGTACTGTGCAATCGATACTGCCAATCACGTGATATTATCGGTCTCGATAAGCCGGAGGTTTTTGCGCGGAAAACCTTCAAATGGGCATATGCGCAATCCCCATTTCAGATTTGTTTTTGTAGCTTACTGATTGTCTGTCATTTAAAGATGTGAGTCACAAAATGGCAAGACGAAACACGAGCCATTTGATGAGCTAACTCATATATTTCTTAGGCATTGTTTCCGGCGCGCTGCTTCTCGGCTCCTCTCTTCGACACCACGGTCCACATGGGCTACTTCATCTAGCCCGTCTCGAATCACTATCCCTCGTCAGACATCACGATTTCTGCTGCAGAGCAGATGGAATAGCCAACATGTACCAAGTCAACCCAATCTTACGAACAAAGATGCAGCAGCCACAAACGATAACGAAGAACAATTAATACAAGCCGCTGTCGGGTATATGGAAGGTACCTCTACTCCTGCGAACGAGACGGCAGACCATATTTCAAAAGAGAGCGAAGCACAGCCACAATCTACTGAAGAAGAATCTAAACGCACGAAACGCCTCCGGCTTTTGAACAAGGAAGCCGATCCCAAGGAGACTGTGTTTGTCGGCAATCTTTTCTACGATGTGACGGCGGATGATTTGCGAAAACAGATGGAGAAGTACGGAATTGTGGAGAGCGTATATATCACTTTTGATAATAGGGGAATTAGTAAAGGGTAAGTGCGGGTTCCCATCGGGACATGTGAAAGAATTACGGCTTTTTCTAACACTGGGCGTTAGATTTGGTTATGTGCAGTTCGACTCCATAGATTCGGCGAGACGTGCAATTGACGCGATGCACATGCGTGTATACGAGGGTCGCCGAGTCATCGTGGCATTTGCGCAGAACAATATCGATCAGCATCGGAACCTGAGACCTATTTCTAGAACGATATATATCGGCAATCTGCCATTTGAGATGACTGATCGGGATATCAATGAACTCTTCAGGGATATCGTCAATGTGATTGACGTTCGGGTATCTGTGGACCGTCGAACTGGCATGTTCAGAGGCTTTGCTCACGCTGAGTTCATCAACGTCGAGAGTGCACGGGCAGCATTCGAGATTCTTAGCAGGAAGGCACCATATGGCAGGAAATTACGACTTGATTACAGCCAAACGAATAGAAGAGCGGATCGTTTGGAGAACAACCCCGAGTGATTTGACAAGATCCGGTGTTTGAAAGTATCGTTTTATCGTGGGGAGGGATTTCACAGATAGTGACAGGCTGTGGTTGATTTATGTATCATATACGCAGCGGAGACTGTGCTGTACTTTGTACAATATTTACATAGACTTATACCAAATCTTTTGCATTTCAGCGTGAGACATAGGAGCAGTCCAGAATTCGCATTTATTATTAATCTTCATGAACCTCCGCGGCCACACGTGACTACCGGGGTGCCTCGGCATTCGCCAGTCTTTCCGATCGGTTTTAGGACGGCTCCGAAACCCCACGCTTGGGACTATCAGAGTGTTTGAATCGTGGAGATAACACCTCCTCATTTTCCGTTCAACGTCCCCGGACATCATTCAATGACAGACGATTTATCCGACAGCTAGCCACTATTTATGCCATATTGAAAGACGGTTATAACATATTATTTTGAAGATGTCATTCCTCGGTGGCGCTGAGTGTTCTACGGCGGGAAACCCGTTGACACAGTTTACAAAGCACGTACAAGATGACAAGTCCCTCCAGCGGGATCGGCTCGTTGGGAGGGGCCCAGGGGGCATGCAAGAAGGCATGCGGTCAAGGGGAATGATGGGTGGACAAGATCAGGTATGAACGAGCCGAACGCCACACCGTCTCATTAGTTCTTCCCCGGTTCTAACGGTAGCTCGACAATGCACGCAGATGATGGACGAGTTCGCTCAACAACCTGGCCAAATCCCCGGGGCTGCACCACAACCGTTTGCGATGGAACACCTGAGACGCGAGTTGGACCAATTCCAGACCACGCCACCTCGGACTGGCTCTCCGGGTTGGGCGGCCGAGTTTGACCCCGGTGAGCAGGCTCGCATGGAGGCTGCCTTTGCCGGGCCTCAGGGACCCATGATGAATAATGGCTCGGGATTCACACCGGCGGAGTTTGCCCGGTTCCAACAACAGAGTAGGGCTGGCGTGCCTCAGACTGCCAACCCGGTTACTTCTGGTCCGTCGCCGATGATGTCGGGTTTCCAGCGTCCTATGGGTATGGGCTACATGGGCATGGGTGGCATGGGTGGCATGGGTATGATGCATTCTGCTTATAACCCTATGGCGATGCAGCAGCAACCGATGGATGCTACTACGCAAGATAAGGGCAAGGGACGAATGGTTGAATTAGACGACGAGAACTGGGAGGCACAGTTTGCCGAGATGGAAACCGCGGATACTCAGAAGCTGGACGATGAGGCTAATGATGCTATCGAGGCGGAACTGAACGATCTTGACAGGTCAGTCTTCACCTCCAGCACTAGTAAAGAAGCAGATTACGATGCTTTTGAAAACGTATGGCAAAAAGTTCAAGCTGAGACGGCAGCAAGCAGGAAACTGGCAGAAGAAGATACCGAATTTAATGTTACTGACAGCTTACACATGGGAGATATGGGAGAGTGGGATCACTTTGACTCTCTCAACACTCGTTTCCGGGACCCTCAGCTGGGTGACTATATGTTTGAAGAAGAGAACATGTTCAAGAATGTCAACAATCCATTTGAAGAAGGTGTGAAGATCATGCGCGAGGGTGGTAACCTCTCTTTGGCTGCATTGGCTTTCGAAGCCGCGGTACAGAAGGATCCTCAACATGTACAAGCCTGGACCATGCTGGGATCTGCTCAAGCTCAGAACGAAAAGGAACTCCCTGCCATCCGTTCTCTGGAACAGGCTCTGAAGGTGGACCCGAACAGCCTGGATGCGCTTATGGGGCTCGCCGTTTCTTACACAAATGAAGGCTATGACTCCACGGCCTACCGCACACTGGAACGTTGGCTCTCTGTGAAGTATCCGCAGATCATTAACCCCAAGGATCTTTCGTCCGATGCAGACCTAGGATTCACAGATCGTCAGATCCTTCACGATAGAGTCACAGAATTCTTCATCCAGGCAGCTCAGTTGTCGCCTTCGGGAGAACAAATGGACCCAGACGTGCAGGTCGGCCTAGGTGTTCTTTTCTACTGCGCGGAGGAGTACGACAAGGCCGTTGATTGTTTCTCTGCCGCCTTGGCCTCCACTGAGTCGGGAACTGTGAACCAGCGGGAGCAGCTTCATCTGCTATGGAACCGTCTCGGAGCCACTCTTGCCAACTCGGGTCGTTCTGAGGAGGCCATCGAAGCCTATGAGCAAGCCCTGAACATTAATGCCAACTTTGTCCGCGCGAGATATAATCTGGGCGTGTCATGCATCAATATCGGTTGTTACCCAGAAGCTGCTCAGCATCTGTTGGGCGCACTTTCCATGCACCGTGTTGTCGAGCAGGAAGGCCGTGAGCGCGCCCGTGAGATTATCGGCGGAGACGGTGGTGTCGACGATGAACAGCTTGAAAGGATGATCCACATCAGCCAGAACCAGAGCACTAACTTGTATGACACCCTGCGACGTGTGTTCAGCCAGATGGGACGTCGGGATCTGGCCGACATGGTCGTGGCTGGCATGGATGTGAATGTCTTCCGGAAGGAATTTGAATTTTAAATGATGCCATTTAGTTTCCTTTGAGTTGCGTGTTCCTTTCTTTCTAGGCTGCACCTAGAATGCGGTGTCTATACGGTTTATGCCACTGTTGATATGTTGGATACCATGGTTCTCCATATATGGGTCAAAATGCAGCGCTTTCGGGTTTTAGATGAATGTAGACTATGGACCTGTGAATTACTTTATCGAGTTAAATTTTTTTTTTTGCCAGTTTGAGTTTAATACCCTCAGTACGTCGTTCTGTACGGTGTGACCTACCCTCTGTTACTCCTACATAGAAAGCTTGCCCGGCCCTTTCGATCTCTTTGTTTCTTGATATTGGTGGGCAACTCCAGAGACGTCTCAGTAAATCTCTTGGTATCAGGTAAGGGGAGCTTTGGGAATATGGTCTGAGTGTGGCCGTAGCTTGCTGGAATGAGATCTCAGCCTTGCAGGTAGCTCGCTGTAGTAGATAGCATCGCCTGTCTCGATAACAGCAAACATTGTGCATTGCAATTCGTGGGTCTTTTGAATCGAATTCCTCAATTATTATATAGGCAAAGGCAGTCAGTCCATCCTTTAATCTGTGGTGACATGATAAAAAATATGCACTGTCTTGTGTGTTGAGAAACTGGAAAGTCTATATTTTGTAGGACGACAGCTTGACGATAACATGGCTGAAATAAATTGTTGGAGAAGAACAACCAAGGACTATAAGGAACTTCGATGGGTTAGTTGCATCAGTAACAGTACCGAGATACGGCTATTCAAAGACAAACTTGCCTTCTTTTGGTATAGTTAGTGGGAGGTAAGGTTAAATTCTGGAACACCCCAATAGGGTATAGAATATAACCTGGGAATCATCTTTCCATCTTCTAACAGGAGCGTATATGCAAAAATGAATTTCGATCTTTGTGGCCGCAAGTGGCACTTGCCCTCGTTAGAACTCCTATATCATCTTCTACTAGAGTGGAGCCAGCACGCTCCTGTCAAATAAAAAGAAAACGAAAGAAAACCACACACATGATATAGTTGGACGTTTGATAATTTCTTATACTCTTTCTGCTGTCCTACACATTGCCCCTTCTTCTATTTAGGTGGTCAGTCTATGTTGGTTGGGGTGGGGGGCTGATCTGTGCACATTCATCGATTCAGGTCTATAACAGGACCAACTTTCTAACGCTCCTGTTGTCAGCTACATGCGGGGCCAGGACTCAGGGTCAGGATGAATACCATGAAGAAAGCTACAAAAACAAGATATTTGCGAAGGAACTATTATCAACAGAAAGGAGGGTGCGCAAGTGAAGCGACGGCTCGCTATCCAAAAGTTATGGGGGAAAGGTGACCGTTTCTGGTGTCAATTTCACAGGTCCTCAGATTCTGTTTGTAAAACCATGGGGACGACCTTGTGGAGCTTCTCAATATGGAGTGAACTGCGAAAGGGAATAAATAGATTATGTAGTACGGAGTAGGGCTGATGATATCTGCCGAGAGTTATGCGCCTGAGGCAACCATGAAATGAGCCTCGGAAGCTTGTCTTTTGGAGCTCCTCCGCATTCTCGCCGCTCTCCGCTTCCCGGCTGCCGGGGACTGTGAGCAGCCCAACTAGCTTTCATCCATGTCGACGAACTTCAGTCTATGATATCTTTTCAAATTAGTTGTATTGAGAAACAGCAACTATGGCCGTGGCAACAGGTGCTCAGCTGATCGCTCGGACGCTGCGTGATGTGGGCGTTGATGTTATCTTCGGCATTGTAGGAATTCCGGTGGTGGAGATCGCCGAGGAAGCTATCAACCTGGGCATTCGCTTTGTAGCCTTCCGCAACGAACAGGCATGCAGCTATGCGGCCAGCGTCTATGGGTATATGACGGGACGACCAGGTGTCTGTCTCGTCGTAGGAGGGCCTGGTGTTCTCCATGCATTGGCGGGGGCAAGTTCATCTCCGCAACTGAAACAACTGTCCGGCTCGTACTGACCGTCGATACTTCGATAGATTGGCAATGCCTCCGCGAATAACTTCCCACTTCTTGTTCTCGCCGGATCGGCTGAAACAACAGCTGTGACTAAGGGAGCCTTCCAAGAGATGGATGCGATCTCATTCCTGACACCTCATACCAAGTTCGCGGTGCGAACGTCATCTATTGATTTCATCCCTGGTGCTGTGAAGAACGCCTATAGGACTTGTTGGTATGGTCGCCCCGGACCAACCTTTGTCGACTTACCTGCCGATATCATTCAAGGCAAGGCAACTCCAGGGTTTCGTCTACCCGAGCCAGAAACCTTGCTAGTCCCGTCCCCGCCGAAGGCGAGCGGCGATCCAGCATTGATCCGCAAGGCTATCCAATTACTGAAGACGGCACGCTCGCCGCTCCTAATCATCGGCAAAGGCGCCGCATATGCGAGAGCAGAGTCCGGAATCGGCCGCTTAGTCGAGCAGACACAGATCCCTTTTTTGCCCACGCCAATGGGCAAGGGTGTCATCCCGGATTCCCATCCACTGAATGCGTCCAGTGCACGCAGCACTGCCTTGAAACAGGCAGATGTTGTTCTGGTCCTCGGCGCACGTTTGAACTGGATCCTACATTTCGGTGAAGCACCTAAATGGTCACCCAAAGCAAAGATCATTCAAGTGGACATCTGTGCAGAGGA